CAGTGGATTTGCAACCTTTGTAAACCACTCAGGGGCTGGTGTATAGCTGCTCTATTATTTTTATCATTTTACATTTTGTTTAATGTAATAAAGCTCAAGAATGGATGGTTTGCACTCAAAAAAAAAAAAAGAGTCTTCAAACTAAAAAGTTTCTGCTCATTTATTTTCTAGGCATTTTCCCTACAAAAAAAATCATCCCAATAATTCTAGGACGCTTGATTCTTTGAGTAGAGCAATTGAATTGATTCAAATTAGCTTTATTGGCATGGATGTGTAATAACATTATTGCCAAATCATCATACACACGCACACACAGCGGCAGCAGAGCGAGACACTGCGCCGTCGCGGTGGAATACGGTGAGGGTTAAGTTAGCTCCAAACTACTGTAACGTTAGTTGATGACAGCTACACTCGTTACTGTAAGTACGTGCGATAAAACCTTTGCAAGTAAATACACAATACTTAATCAACAAACCTGTCTGTAAGGTAACGTTAAACATGTAGAAATGGTTAATTAAATCATCTCTGTTCTCAGTATCTCACTATCCCTGTATGTTTTATACTAGCACAGCTAACGCTAGCTTGGCATTAGCCAAATGTTGAAAACAAGCTAAATAGAAAGCTGTCTGTCTGGAGCATAAACTGGTCTGTAGTCTTAGTTTGTCTCAGCCTGTAGCTGGTTTGGCTGAGACAAACCAGCCGCTCCTCCTTCTACCTGGTAACGTTACCTGCAGCCAGTGAAAGAGGAGGAGGGACTGATACAGACTGATGTGCTTTCTAAACGTCACTCACTACGTCAGATAAAGTTATTGAGTTACTTTGCTGTTGTCTAGAAACAACATTTAGCTGTATTTAAAATATTAAATTAAAAATAACCAGGCAGTTAATATGTACACTTCAGTACATGTTTATTTATCACAAGTGATATGTCCTCTCAATATATAACGTTATCGGACACTGAATATTTTCCTCATACCGTGCAGGCCTGCCTCATGCCCGTTGGATCTGGTCTTACCAAATAACCATCACTAAATGGTAAAGTATCATATAGTAAGAATCGGATCGTTAAGCAGTCTCAATATCAATAAAAATTAACGATCCCCATCCCTTTATCGCACAAAAGAAAAATATTGCATCAGTTTTTTCCTATATCATGCAGCTCTAATTGGTATAGTAAAGCAATCATCTGCACACCAGGTCTCTCTTGGAAAAGAGGTTTTAAATCTCAAAAAACACACTTAGGCCAAAATATAAATAATAATATCAATACTATATTTAGATTTTTGCTAAATATGAATTGCGATTTAAAATCTAATTAATCACGTTCAACTTTTTCATACCCATAACCGCATTTTGAAGATTACTTTATTTGTCCTAAGGAAATTTGTCTTGGATGTACAGGCTGCCACACATTAACTTAATTTTCAAGTAAACTGTTATGAGAAAGATGTAATAAAACTGAGCTAATTATTGTTTCACCTGGCCCGAAGAGAACACAATTCAAGAAGGTGGGGAAAACTTGTAATATTAGGGAAAGAAAATGGGCATTGAGAAATTAATTTCATCTCCTCCTTTTCCACAAATCTATCAAAAACCCTAATCCATTAGGGTTCGAGGGCAACATGCTGAGCTGCTCTGTTGTCAGCTTTAAAATGTTAGAGCCAAGGCAATAATAATTATCAAATGATTACTGTAATGTGAACATCAGCATTAAAAAAAAAGTTATAAAAACCTTGCTACAATTGTAAATAGCTAGTATGCAAGTGGAGATTACATTGTAAACGAGGAAACTACAATTTTTTAGTAATTAGTTATTCTGAGCTGCTCCACAACACGCCAGCTAAATCACATTTCTGCAGACAAGACGGACACTGACTAAATAGCTAATCAGTAAAGCCCAACACTGGACCTGACTCTTGTCTTTCATTAATGTTATGAAGATGAACTTTAGGAAGCTCCATTTCCATTCATACCTATGCAGCAGGCCTCTCAGCTTGTCTCCCACATTGATCACCATGACCTCCTTGCCAGCACTGGTCAGGGTGGCGATCTCGCTCTTAATGACCTTGGCCACACCAGAGTGGATGGCGCCACAGAGTCCACGGTCAGAAGTCACACCAACGAGCAAATGCTTGGCGGCCTTCTCCTCCGGCACTTTGATGTCGGCCTTCTCATACAGGGCTGGAGAGCAAACAGTGAACAGAATCTTAGTTCAGTGTCAAAAAATTCAAACTCTTACTAATACAAAGTGAGCAACAACATGGCATACGTACCCACAGCACCAGTGCCGTAGACTCTAGCTGGCTTCAGCTGCCTCTCAGCACGAGCATACTTGGCAGCGGCCACCATCTTCATGGACTTGGTAATTTTCTGGATGTTCTTGATGGACTTCAACCGAAGGGTGACTATAGAGAGTAGGGGATATTACTCAGTGTGACACCAGTGTGGATATACAAACAAGTACACTGATCTAAATGTGATGTGTTACACACAAGAGACCACCACATTAAACTATATTCACATATCTGGCTAACACACACACTTTGTTGAACACTAAAGAACTTTTTATGAATCACTGGGATAGGTACTGCAATTCAGCATCACGTGTTTGAATGTCTTAAGTCATTTGTTTTCCAGTTGCCTATGCATTCACCTTCCACCAAAACACACCACAGTGGGTATGATCCAATTAAGTAAGAGATAGCTTGCATGTACAACACTTTGCAGCGGATTGATAAAAGACATCAAGACCATGATTTGCAGCTTGTGTCTTCATACCAGGTAAACCCCTGCAAAGACTTAGTGACATTTCTCTCAGATGTTTGCAGAAACGACTCAGATATTGGCTCTGGGGTATTATCAGTGTGCCATTACAGTCTGTAATATGTTTTGATGCTGTTGTCTTTTCATATTAATAGGAGAAGCACACAAAGTTACTTACTGTCCTTCAAGGTAGCCATGTTCCTGACCTGCCCACTGTGAACAGAAATAGTGCATGTGAGCTTTACATGTAAAAACGTTATTATATAACATCAACAGTAGCTTCTAATTAACGTCACATTAGCACAGACTCATTTAATTTGTTAAATAAATAAAAACTTGATCACATGCTAGTTGTGCAAATGCGATAGCTGCAGTTAGCTTTGTTAGCTACTAGCTGTAAAGAAAAAAGCTTAGACAGTTAACCCTAGCTGGCGACATCGCTGTGACTTATGCGTGTTAACAAATATTTTCTGTCTTCACTGGCTTCTCACACAATGTCTGAACGTTTTAGCAAGTACATGTCGGCTTAGCATTAGCTGAACTGCACAGCACACCGCTGTCATTCATTAGCCGCGGCCTCCACGTTAGCATGTCCTTGCATTCAATAACTACATGCATTACAGACCAGAAGCTTCACCCGTATTCTAATCACATACCGACACGAAGTACATAGAAAGAAGATACAAGTAAAGATAGTCGCCAAAGTATTTAATTATTGTTGACTTTACCATTGTGGGGTGAACACCAACGCGCTGGTCCTGGCGAACATGGTTACTCCTATGAAGGTCAGAGCCGCAGAAGTGCGCAGGCGCAAGGTAAAGTCAAAATGGACGAATGCTACCTTCACGGACTGCTAGAGACAAATCGTAAAGATGCGATTCACAAACGAAGTAACTCATAATGTCTTAAAAAATAAATAAATAAATAAGCTCTTTTTAGTGCTTCTATTTTTTTTTCTTGTAAAAAATGTTTACAATTTAAATACATTTAATTTACAAACTCTATTATTCATGGCCGTTTTGTTCATGCTTTACTGACCAAGTCATTGGATCATTTTCCTCTACACCACCTATATAGCTGTAATGTAAACTTTTCTGTAGTCATGTTCCAAGTTAAATATTCTGTCAACATTAAAATATGTATGACATCCCATGAGACATGTAAAAATGTCTGTAGCTACGCTTAAGATTTGAAAATTAAAGAGCATGAGCATGGCAATTAATCAAAATACACACCTGTCTTAAAAATAAGCCCTACAGGTCGTTTTATAACACTTACCGTCGTTTCGATGGTACATCCAGAATCCTCAAAGACTCATCTGTCCGAGTGATTTTTAACTTGGATCCAAAGTTGCTTCTCTTTTGTTGATCAGCCAAGATGGCAGCAGGTGTTGTGTCCATGCAGCCAAGTAGCCTACTGTTTAAAAACTATGTTGTTCGTGGGGTTCATCAATGGTGATAAATGACTAGAAGTAGACCTATTTTTTTTACGTTTACGTTCAGAGTCATCAATACTCACTATTACACATAGTAGAAGTAGCATTCCTTGAGATTCAGCAAAAATTACAGATTACAGCAAATATATGTGGTGATAACCGCATTTATTTCATTTATTTAGGCTCTCTCTTTTGTATTGGTAATTCCTACTACTACTAGACATAGTAGGCTAACAAGAAATTGTTCATACAGTTATAAAAGTTGAATAAAACCAATTTATCATATCAAAAAATAAAACAATATCAAACATGTTATTCTCTGACCGAAAAAAGGGGTGGGTGCATAATTTTAAGTTACCTCTTATCTCAGCATGTGTGAGTGTTACCTGCTATTCAGTCGGGCATGCAGAACTCGGCACAACACCGTGACAAAACTATCAACTTACCGATTTTGTAGCACGCACAAGTTTCATAAGCAGTTTCATCTAAAGTGTTGTGTTATATTTTCTTACATATTTATTTATTAATTTTCTGATTATCTATCTTGTAATCTCGGTTATACGGTTATGTTGTTTACAAAATAAATAAAATTTACAACTTCGGAATGGATTAAAAATGTTCCAACCCACAACAACACGGGAGCCACAGACTGGGGCTAAGTAAAATTTGTTCCAGTGATTTAATTAAAAGCTTTAGTACCTTTATTACTCGTTATGACTCTTGGTAAAACAAAGCTTACAATGAGTCCTTGAACGCACCTAAAGTTATCGCGTGTTGTAACATTTCGCGCGAGATTATGACGCTCTACTGGCGGAAGCTGTTTACGTTAGCAGCGACGGTGTCCATGATTTAGCTCTAGCTTCTCGATTTGAGCAGCCTTTTCCCTCAGTTTACGTGTTATTAACAGATAAACAGACGGTCTTATATGTTTATAGTGGCTGGGCAGCATGGGAAAAGCAGATTTTCTCTCTCCCCCAAGGCAATAGCCAACCGGATAAAATCCAAAGGGCTCCAGAAGTTGAGGTGGTATTGTCAGATGTGTCAAAAACAATGCCGAGATGAGGTGAGGTGTCCATTAAATCCGGCAGATTTTGTTTGGTTGTTGTTACTGTTGATATTTTGAACTTATTTATCTTTCCCGTTTGTTGACAGAACGGCTTCAAATGTCATTGCATGTCAGAGTCTCACCAGAGGCAGCTGCTGCTGGCCTCAGAGGACCCAAACAAGTTCATGGACTACTTCTCTGAGTAAGTTTTCATTGGTGTGTGTGTGTGTGTGTGTGTGTGTGTGTGTGTTGCTGCAGTTTTACAAACAGCAAATCTTGTTAGTTGTGTGCTTCAGATGGGAGAGTTCATTCTTGTTTCCCCTCTCCCAGTGAGTTTAGAAGTGACTTCCTGGAGCTGCTCAGAAGACGTTTTGGTGAGTCCTGATTTCCCTCAGATTATCCAGATGTTCACTAGCAGCACTGAGTTAACCGTTTGAATGTATTCTCTCTCTCTCTCTTTTTTTTTGTCCATCTGCAGGGACCAAGCGAGTGCACAACAACATCGTCTACAATGAATACATCAGTCACAGAGAGCACGTCCACATGAACTCCACACAGTGGGAGACTCTCACTGACTTCACCAAGTGGCTGGGCAGAGAAGGTAAACTGAGCGAATGGTTTCCCACCTGAAATATTTAGGAAGGGAACTTTTCTTCTCCGACAAACAGATATGCAATAGCTTTGTTATTTAGGGAGTAGACAGAAGTTACTGTAGCAGAATTACAATTTTAACTAGATAACATATATGATACAGAGTAAATATTACGTGTAAAATGTTAAAGAGTTTGTGGCAAAGGCAGAAAAACATCTTGAAGAAATTCTTACTTCTTTTCCTAGGTATTTAGCTCATCTATACCGTACACGCTAGTAGCTCTTACTAGTATCTGTTATCACTTGTAGATCTCTTACTGTATTGATGCTTTATTGATGCTCGTATGTTGTTCCTCGAATGTAAGTCGCTTTGGATAAAAGCATCTGCCAAATGAGTAAATGTAGTATCTTTATCAAATCCTTTGAATAGCAGCTGGGAACAAGTGACCATTAAGTTTTTGAATCCCAGCAACTCAAAAATGGAAGTTAACCATTAAAAAATTAATAAAGTGAAATGATGAAAAGTAGAGTTTTCAGAAACTAGGGGCCTATTGTTGAAGAAATTAATAAAAGGACATTGGGAGCAAGCTTGTAAATTGTGTTAAAACATATTACATTACTACCACAAACAATCAGCTTGCCTAATTACCGTGAAAACACTTAATGTCGATGATGTAAATGTGTGTAAATGATGAAAAATAAAACATGGAAATTATTTTGGTATGAAACACAATTTTAGCCAAACCAAACTGCTGCTACATTAAAGAATGATTATTTTAAATGTGTAACACATTGCTGAATGTCACTGCTAGGTTTCTGTAAGGTTGACGAGACCCCTAAAGGCTGGTACGTCCAATACATCGACCGCGACCCCGAGACAATCCGTCGCCAAGAGGAACAGGCGAGGAAGAAGAAGCAGGACCTGGACGACGAGGAGAGGAGCGCCAGGTTCATCGAGGAGCAGGTCCGCAGAGGCCGCGACGGCAAGGAGACAGAAGTGAGTACCAGCGAGAAAGACTTCAGCTCTATTAAGCTAAACTAAGATCAATAGAGAGTTGACTTAATCCTTTGTTCTGTATTTTACTCTGTAGGAAACTCCAGCGTACACAGAGCTGAAACGTGAGAGCGAAGAAGAGAAAAGTTAGTTTTTTCTTGCTTTTGTTTGTGATCAGTCACATTTCCTGTCTGTTTTTCAGGTTAAATAACATTTTAGCATGTAAGGTTTAATTTCTCACTCTCACACATTTTTCTGCAGTTGCTTTCAACCTGGGCGCCTCTTCATCCGTAGCCGGTCCTTCCAAAGCGAGGTACAGACATCTCTGTGCAGGTTGCTGATTCTGCTGGCTAATTATCAGGCAGGTATAATTTGAATTGTGTGTCCCTGTAGCTCTGTCCTGGGTGCTAGTGCTCTCAAAGCAGCGGCATCGTCATCCTCAACCAAGAGGAAAGAACCTTCCTCCAGTTTAGACTCCAGAGCGGAGAAGAAGAAGAAATCTGCTCTGGAGGAGATCATGGAGGTAGGGAAGACGATTTGTTTTTTTTCGTCTTCTGTTTGCGTTTGAGTTTGCATTTATTCCCACAGAGTGTTCTCAATGGAGTTGCGATGCTTTTTGTTCAGATGGAGGAGAAGAAGAAGAAGCAGCAGCAGCCAGTCAGGACAGATTACTGGTTGCAGCCCAACATTGTGGTCAAAGTTATCACCAAGCGACTGGGAGAGAAGTATCACAAGAAGAAGGCTGTCATCATGGTAACGCTGCTTTGTGTTTCATTTGGGCGAAATTGTTAATATGCATGTGGGGAAAAGAAAGATGTTGCTAATAGCTGTGGATGCTTTTGTTGTAGGAGGTGCGGGACAAATATGGAGCGGTGGTGAAGATGATCGACTCCGGAGACAAACTGAAATTGGACCAGAATCATGTCGAGACGGTCATACCTGCACCAGGTTAACCACCAAAACCCTGTAACCTTTATAAACTGCAAAAAAACATGCTACACGTTGTGGAATATATTTGTATAAAACAGATCAACGAGGTGGAAACATCATGTAGCTCAGCTGTGTTTTTCTATCCTCCTGAGCATCTTATTATCAAACTTCCTGCAGGTAAACGGGTTTTGATCCTGAACGGTCCTTACAGAGACACAGAGGCTCTGCTGGAGGGAATAGACGAAAAAAATTTCAGCGCTACACTCGCACTCGACTCTGTAAGTATTTCCGGGCATCTGCCACAAACTGTAGCTGTCACATGTTAGTCTTTGCTTTATTGTCTCCTGTACATCTGAATATAAAGTACTTTCAGTTGGCTGACAGCTGCCTGTTAAAACTGTATATTTTATGACCCCTCGAACAACAGCTTAAAGGTTCAGATCACCCAAATAACAAAAAGCATGTTTTTGCATTTACTACTGGGCCTATCTCGCCTAATCTCTGAGATTTGTGTCTTGGTTTGTCTGTTTTTCTTTTGAAGCACTGAGAAATGACATTTAAAAGATTCCAAAATAACATCTTTCTGCAAACCGTGTCCGTGTTTGTTAGGATAAAAACAGGACACAATGTCACCAGTTTGTTTTCCTGCTTTTGTTTTCTTTGAGAGGTGGCTGTATTGAAAGTGTGACAATACACGCCAAAAAGTCCCAGAAATAGCACAAAAAAAAAATAAAAATCAAAGCATCTATTCATGATAATCTTGGCACCAAACCTGAACACATTCAATGTGAAACATTGGTAACATTTGAGACTCACTGCTTTCCATCTGCTGCATTCACTTCTATGTTGCACTTTTTTTATTTGCTGTATCTAGTACCTTTTGTTACAGCTGCAGCCGTCATTAAAATTTCATCTTCACTCTTCTTTAGGGTCAACAGAAGGGGAAGAGAGTGGACATCGCCTATGAGGATTTCTCAAAACTGGCCTGAACCAACAACCTTCCCGTTTTAACCTCAGACAGCCGTTTGTCTGGGGGACTCTACTGTGTCAGAGTTACTTCCCAAATTAATTCACCTGTACATATACAAATCCCACAATGCAATTCCAGCGATTTATCACAGAGAAACTTAGAACAATGTGTTCAATCTGTTTTTTATTTTGTATTGATGTTCAAGTTGATCTTTGTCCAAATAAATTCAACAAAAGTGACGTGTGGTGTTTTTTGGAAAATAATTAGGAAAGAAACATTTAACATTTTGAAAGAAAATGAAAATCATTAATTGTAGACGCACACAAACTGCAGTAGAAAAAAGTTGTATGTTGTCTTCCCTTCTTCTCCTGTTTTTCACTCACTCTTTTAAATGGGTGTAATTTCATTTATACCCTTACTGATCCAGGAGATTTATAGCAGCACAGGGTACTTGGTTGTGTCTCTGGCTGCTCAGAGCCTATAGAGGAAGCTGGTGAGATTTGGGACGATGTAGTCGGTGTAATGGCCGTCAATGAAGCCCTTTCCGCTGTTGTGTATGAACCAGCAGTAGACGTTTGAGCCGTGCCTCTCATCATGCCTGTAGTCCTTCTGCCAGCCCCTAATATATGCACACACAAGAGTTTGTGGTTTTAATAAGAAATGGGTTTGTTCAAAAACCTTTTTTATGAGTTGCGACGTACCTGGTGACTGGCAGCCTGTTTCCCTTCACCTCCATGGTGGCCTCCTTCTTCAAAGGGTCGACTCCTTCGTGGATGTCGTACACGGTCACCTCAGGCTCTCTAGAAAACTGCCCTGGGAGATCAACACACCATAGGCTGTGGTTCAATTTGTAATTTTCATAAAAATCTGAAGTTTTGCGCAATGCAAACCTGCCTCATCCTATCACGAGAAGTTACTACCTCACTTAAACAGTTTTAATATGTATTTTAGTGGCCAGTTTTTATTGTCTGAAAGAAGACTTTTCTTACTTCAACTAGAATAAAATCCTGGGCAAAGCATCAAATACCATGCAAATCCACAATAAAAGAACATCTTCACACCTTGATGAATGCAATGCACTAGAAGGTATCCTACAACAGGCATAAAACTGTCATACATTGAATATGCTCACAAAATATCAGTTATCAGATATTAGCTTCAGTTTGATAATCTTGGTACAAAAAATAGTGAAAAACTAAGGCTAATGCTCTTTAAATTTTAAATGTGTTTGATTGTGTTAGATAAAACAAGCTTGTTAATAACACATGTTAACAAAAAATTTGGTTTGCTGTTGCGCAAACACTTTCTGTTGGAGTGGAAGGAGCTGAGCTGCCTCCATGACCTGAAGTGTCGTAAGATGCAGTACCACTAATGGCCACTAGATATTGTCTCCAAAAAAATCAACCACACTCACGTTGGTTCAGAAAAATCTGTCTTGAAATACAGTCAGACCCATGTCACCATTAGTTATGATGTAGGTAGCTAATATGGATTTTTTCAATGTGCGCTGCGATTGTAATTCTAAGAGTCATTGTTCAATTTAGCAGATATTAAGGCTTTAAATAGCAGTGTGCCTGACTGACAGGTGTCTCATCCTATCACAGTTAGCTCTTTTACTTGACACTTGCTCATCATTCCTCAGCTTCTTGCAGGGCTCAAAAGCTTTTTCCAAATGAAGACTTTCTATTATAGTCCACCTCTGAGTGACTTCATCCATGTTTTACCTATGAGTCCATGGACCAGAGGAGAGTACTCGTTGTCGGTGGGAATGTAGATACCGAGGAAGTGAACATTCACTGGATGTTTCTTCCACACGCGGTGAAGTAACACCATCACCTGGATATTATTATTTATCGTGATGGTAACATGCAAGTTCTTCACAATGGAAATCTGCACACTGGAATACAGAAATGAGACAAAATGACCCAGATGTCAAGGCAGCCAGGTGGACGCTGTAATTAAAGGGGTGACTGTTACCCATCCTGTGTGATTTCCGCTGTGGCCCCCCAGGTGAAGGAGTGGTTGTTCCTGCCATCAGTCATGGCAATGCTGACGGTGCTGACGGTCACGCTGACTCCATCGGGCTGGGTGTAGACCGAGATGGTGCCAAAGTAGGTTTTCAGTTTGCTTTTCTGCACCTGCTTAGAGCCAATCAACTGACCGTTCACCACCACACCTTCAGGACAGCAGCGAGGGTTAAAGAGGAGCGTCAACACATGAAATACAAGGTCCCACTTAAACAGAAATAATAAGGAGTCCAAGTCCCTCTGACACCACATCTCAAAAATCAGTTCAGATCTTTCTGCTTTTATTTATGCAGTTATCTGTTCAAACGTCTTCACACTCACATAAATAAAAGACTAGGAGGGGGCATACATTTCACATATTTATTGATATCTACACTGCTAACTTGGCTACAACCATAACTCTGACCTGGACAAGCTGCAAATATTGATGGAGGGACTTCCTCTAACCAATGTTCCTGTGTGAACCCCCTCGCCTTTCCCTAACTAGTGCTGTTAAGCAACCATGAGCTGAGGCCTGCAAAGGCTGTCCTACACTAGTTTGTTAACAGTAATTAAACAAATCCGTTAAAAAACAGAAGATGTGGTAAATAAAATCTCTCTCTGATGTTAAAATACTACACGTTCACCTATAACATGCAACCCATGTAGCGATAAGGACAAAGAGTCTGTGCCAAAGCACACCACGACAGGAACAGAAATTGTACAAAATTATAAAATACTACACTTAGTACAGTGTAATACCTGTTCCTCTGTCAGACACAAGATTGAGGATGTGACCAAGTTTGGAGTCGATGTTGAAGCAGACGTCCATGTTACTTGTCGGCAGGTGGACGATGAAGTGAGGGTCGTTATCCACTGGATGAGAAACACTGAGTTACACAGAGTATCGTTCACATTTAACACTGCAGCTGGAAGACTCTTCATGATTTTATAAAAGTCATCTGAAGTGTGTGTGTGTGTGTGTGTGTGTGTGTGTGTGTGTGCTAACTGTTGAGAATATTTCTTAGAAGTCTTAATTGATGGTCTAGCTTAGAGTAATGTAGCTGACCCCATAAGTGTTTGACATTATAGCTTTAGGTATTTCTCACACGTACGTGTCCTCGTCAAGAAGACAACAATAGACTGATTAGCTAGAGACAGTAGCTCAGACCTCAGGCTAGCAGATATCAGTGTTCTCTGGGAATCTTACAAGGTTGAGCCATCAAGAATGTTTACAAGAACTAGCTGGCTCCACAGATTACAGTACAACTCTTGGATAGTGAGAGATTCCAATATGAAGAAGCATTGGTATCTAAACATCAGATAGATAGTTGTTCTAGGTAAATATTCTCAACACTACCTAGGTTGACATGTTGAGGTATGGCCCACTCCTCCGGACCCCTAATCCCTTGACTCGGAGGGGCTGGAGTAATCGGCTTGACCCAGGTTGGGGTGTGGTAGAGCGCCTGCAACTGAGTATGCCCAGAGGACACAGGGCCTCCTCCTCCTCCTACACACACATGACATAGTACTAAATTAACCCTCATGTGGTTAAATCAGCATTTTCAGCCCCTGAGTTTGTTGATACAATGTTTTGATTGTTTAATTATGTATTTGACAAAGAACTGAAACACTCCCAAGGGAAAGGAAATCTGGCTGAACCATTATAAAACTGGCTGTTTTATAAATTACTGATTCCAAGTAAATTGTAATTTAGTTAGTTTAGTTAATTTATGGTGATTTTCTAATGTGTTTAAGCCATGTCATGATATATATTCATATAACTTATTTGGTGTCCTATATGAAGTGCTACATGTTTCCTACTTGGTTTCACAATATCCATATCATCCAGGATTTCAGTAATTAAAAGGAAAGTTGTATCTAGAATATGTTTTACAGTTCCATTAAAGTACTGGGAAGGTTAAATAAAATGTAGATGTATCCCTCATTTATAATTCATAGCTGAATTGTTGGATCCACTGCAGCAAAAAGGCTGCTAGGAACTAGATAAAAACCCTCCACATTCACTTCACTCTGTCAGTTTAGGCTTGGATTAATGGGCTTAAACAGGAGGTGCTGGTGGCCTGGGAGGGAAAACTTTATTTTTATGACCATATAAAAATAGTAATAAGTGATATATTAGATTGGTAAACACTTTACATTTACCCACCTTGGGGCTGGATGGGTGAAGGATAGAGGGGGTTTGCTTTTTTATATAATATAATCCAGATTCTAAAATGATCTTCATATCTTTAATTTTTGATGAGTTTATGGATATAAACCTTCTTTTGTTGTTTGTTTGTTTTTGAAACTTTATCCCTCCTTATATGTGGTTTAATAAAGTTTTCTTCCATTACGCTGCACTGTCTGTTTTGGTTAGTGTGACATATTTGTGCTGCCTTTTGGAGTAGAAATCTGTCAAAAAAGATTTGGATCTAAGGAAAAATAAAAACAGTTGCTTCCAAATCTTCCCTACATACTTTAAATTCAAACTAAACACCATAAAAGACAGTGACATCAATCAGCACTAAACAAGTGTATCTTCTGTCAGGCACCTGAACAGCAGCCATGCTTGGGGTCCTTCGGGAAGTCAGCCAGCAGCCTCTCCGTGGCGTCCTCGCTCTCCACCAGCAGAGCGGTGAGAGGAGTGACAAACTGATGCTCCACAGCCAGCGACATGATCCGTTGGGTGATCTTCCTCTTCTTGTCAGCATTCGGAGCCAGAGCCCTGCAGGAGAACCACGCTGCAGTGGTCAAAAACTGACAATTATATAAATTCACTGTGCGGAGTGGCAATTCCATCATATTTCTACAAAAAAACAAATGTTTCCTGATAGAGGTGATACAGAGTCCTTGGTATTATTTTGTGGTTTACATTATTTATTCAAGTTAAGATACTTTACAAACTTTGAAAACTGTGTATCTTACTGTATCTGTCAGTGAATTGAGGACCTTCCTGTCAACGTACCACACATGTTTTCACGTTTCAACAGTTAAAAAATTACTCTTAATTGCTCTTCAGTCTCTCACCTTTCAGAGATCAGCTGTTTGACTGTGATGTAGGCCCACATTTGTCTGGCGAAGCCCGTGAACGAGTGCTCGTGCTTGGCCAGTTCCGTGTCCAGCTCATCGGTATCGGCCGATGACTCTAGCTTGATGTCCAGACGGGACTGCAGGACGAGATCGAACAGGACACTGGTAATAGTTGTGTACGCCTCATTTCTTTCCTTCGCCCATGGCCTTGAAACCCTCAACTTCTGATTTTGCTTTCACATGACACATATTTTTGCAGTTTGCTTGGTTAGCCCTCATGAGCCATACGTCTCGTGAACAGGTCCAGGATGAAATAAACTGAGGGCAACTCAAAACTGACTCCGGCTCATAGACTCAGGACATAGTCCGTATGAGTGCATTTGTAAGCGGTCCACATGAAGCTAATTTTGCTTTGTGCTAGTGTTGGCATGGGATGATTTTAGAGTCCATGCATTCACGGCTTTAAAGGTCATTTGAGATATGTGCATGAATTACGAGAGTGGTTTCCAAAACCCTCATCACAGGTTGCATAAGTGTGAGCTGTGAGCAGTTTGACCAAAGAGTAATTTTCACCTATAAACCGCTCAGATTGCTTCATGTTTAATCATTGTTGGTGACCCGATGAGTTAAAACCATCTAGTATTTTACATAAAAAAGGAAAGATTCATAAAAAAAAAAAAACTAAATTAGGGAGTTAGGAATTTAAGCACTCAGTAGAAAGTTCTCACAGGTGTGGTGTTGTAAACATCTTGTCAATGCATGGTTGTGTTTATTGAACTCACGGCAGCAGCAGTGGTGAAGCTGGTCAGGATGTTGCTCTCAGATGGCAGCACCTTCCCAGCCACCACCAGCTCTGAGCCGCTGAAGTATTTATCGAAGCGGTTCTGGGTGACGTCTGACACAGTGTCCTCTGTGAACTGAATGGCGATCTTTCTCAGCAGAGGAGACGAGACCTGACTGTAAAATGTCTGCAGGGAGAGGGGAGGGAGAGGAGGGGGAATTAACAAGTTCCTGTCAATCAAGAGCATGAGGAAACTTACAATATGAGTGACTGCATTCTTGATATGAATTAAGGTATCATGACTAAGGCTGGGTTCCTTTTTGGATCTCGGTACAAGTCTTTCATCTCTACTTTCCATTTGAATTAGCAAAGAACAATGTCCAGAACATTCAGCTGGCCATTTAGCTACATAGCAAAACTTGAGCTTTATTGCTTTAAATGGTGATCTTTGGGTTTAAGTCATTATATATTAAATTATTTATATGTTTTATTGTATTTTTAAATAGTTTTAAAGTTGGAATAAGGATTCAGACTGACAACCAGGTTCGAGACTCGTTTCAATTTTTCTTCTATGCTCAAAAAGTTCTGCCACACCATGTCCAAACTACTCTGACACCCAGATAACAATTTTACCTTTTAAGACAGTAAATATTAGTGCTCACCAAACCAAAGGTTAAAACTAACTGCTTCTTCCAGCACTGCACTTTGAGTCTGGCTTTTGGGGTTGTCTTGCAATGGTACCTTAACATTTTTAACAATTGTGACAATGAAAACAAATGAAGAACCAACAAAGTCAAAAATTACAATGAATAAGATTGTTTCAGCTTGGTTTTTATCATGGATAGATTTGATTAGATATGTTGAGTTGTGTGCTGAAGGGAAAGCTTTAGTACCCGTAGCTGCTCTGCAGCATCATGGTTGGCGTAGATCCTCTGAGCCATGCCCCTGTTCTCCATGGCGATACGCTCCAGGAAGTCATAGTCCACGTCAAAGCCAATGCCCAGTGAGAAGAGAGAAAACTCCTCCCTCATCAACCGCTTCACATTCTTCTGTATGGTGCTGAGCTTGATCTCACCTGCAAAAAGCAGTACATCATTGTAGTGACTAAAGAGAAGAGGCCCCGTATTCTCTTGCATGCCCGATCTCTTGGCTTTGATCTTTTTTCCCAACCAAATTTTTAACATTATAGCCTTCCTTTTAAAACACCTTTAATATAAATTACATGCTTACAAACATCAGCAAACTGCAAAGGGAAGATAAAATTGATTTGTCCTAGTTTTGCTTTGATTGTTTAAATTGTTTCTCTTTTATGTCAATGTATTGTGTCTTCCTATGGGTGGATAAGCTGCTAAGCCTGACCTAAAATTGGTCAACAGATGCACTCTAAAGTCTTGGCAGCTGAACCAGTCAGTCAGTCTTACCTACAGTGGGGTCTCCATCAGACACCAGAATGATCATGGAGACGGAGCGAGGGTCAATGAACCCTTGATTGGACGCCTTCACCAGCATCTGAACTGCTCTCATCAGTGCCTCATTGATGTTGGTACCTGGGGTCAAAGGACAGTAAAATATAGTCATTAACAGACAGATATTCTAAGCTGTCCTACTTGATTAATATTATTTCCTCGTACCGCCGTTGGGTTTGATGCTCTTGATGTACTTCTTGGCATCTGCGATCTGAATGGATGAGCCCTGGACCAGCTCCTCACTCCAGCACCGCACATTGTGGTTGAAGTCAATGATGCTGAAGTGGTCATCTATGGTCAGATCATCCAAAATAGCCTGCATGGCCTCCACTGTCTGAGAGAGAAGTTTGGAATTAAATGCATTCTGCTGAATGACCACACGGCCGCTGTGTTCTACAAAAGAGGGGTGAAGCAAGAGGGTAGTTGGAGGGGGGTCAAAGTGCACAAAACACTTCATTTATGTAGACAACTACTACTTACTTGCTTCATCTTGACGCCCCACATGGATCCGCTAACGTCAATGACAAACACAATGTTTTTAGGAAGAGGTGAGAAGTTGGAAGGAGCGAAGAATTGGACAAAGTGGCCGTCCGAGACCTGGAAGAAACAGTGATGGCTTGAGTCATCCTCTCCAAACTGTTAGCCGTGTGCAATATTAGAACAAGTGAATTAATGAGGCTTTAAACAGTACATATGGATGAGCGTGTGATACCTGTAGTTCCCCGGCATTGCTGTCCCTGTTTACATCATATCTGACAGTAAAGACGCCGTCTATAGCGCTTTCGGTGCAGTTGTCACACTTTTTCTGCTGCTGCAGGTTGGGCTTGAAGACAATGTGAGCCTGAGGACAGGGACACAGTGCATGATACAATTACATTAGGATGCCTGCCTACACTTTAAAAAGAGGCTGTTATTATCCCTGCTGCCAAGGACGGGTATGTTTTCCTTCTTGAATGTATGCTCTTTAAATATCTGTTAATTTTCATAATATTTTAGTGAAATTTGGTGGCAAATGTGGTCACGAATCAAGGAAGATGAGATTAATTTTAATGCAAAGAGTGCCATCAATCATGACATGCAAAAAGTAAGCAAAATACATTTCCCCACTGGGACAAATCTTTCAGTACAGACTACTCTGATTCTGGCCTAATATATCTCACAACATTTTTTCAACACTCCTACTAAATCTTTTAAATCTCGTTAAATACATTGTACAACTCCAGTGTACCTGGTCATACAGGTGACTTATATATCCATATGCCATATGACTGATTAATGGACTCTATATAAGGAAACTGGAAACAACGTCACCACCCTGATGAAGACAAGAGGGCCAAACGTTTGATTAATTAATTGCCATACCTCTTGAATTCACTAATTTCAACCAAATTTAATAATCAAAGCGAAAATGTCACTGTACAACAGCAACATGATACATTTATTTGAGTGTGGAGATTCCCTCTGAACTTTTAGGATATATATCTGTGTAAATATTCTTAACGCTAGCAAGTAGACCTTGCATTAAGAATATTAGGTAGAAGTTGAATTTAGAAAACAATGGCAGATATGATCAATTCCAAAAGTCCAGTCTGATTTTGTTCAGTTCATCCTTTTATAAAGCCCTTTTATTTCCAGAAAGGATTCAGATTCTCTCCAAGAATCCTGGCACCACCTTCCCAACATGTACCTTGATTGATTTCTCAGTTCAAATTTCTAAACATTTTCTATTACTAAAAGAACAATAAAGAGAATTGTGCAGTATTGGCAGAGGTTGTTTTTTTTTTTTTTTTGCAGTTTTACCTTGTCTTTGGACGATGTAACTTTGATCAGGTCTGCAAACTGCGCTCCAAGGGTGTTTGGGGTATGTACCATGGAAATTCCCTTTGGCTCAAAGATGTACACATCCACCTAAAGAGAAACTGGGTCAGAGATGATTGCAAGAACCCTAACAGACATACAAAATTATACATGTGTCATGATATTCTTACCTGGAGCTGTGGCACCAGCCTCCCAGGCTGCACGTGCAGTGTGTGGTCGTAGAAACCCAGCTTTCGGTGCATCATCTCCTGGTAGTGGAGCTCAAACTCAATGTTGCTGCCAGGAGGAACATGGACTTCTGTCTTAAATGTCTCCATGTCCTGGGAATTAGCCCTGTAAAGCAGAAACATTTCAGTCCTGATGGAGCAGTTGACTCTACAGAGGATTATAAATCCAAGAGGTTGATCCAGTACCTGACGATGCCGGCTGCCTTGCCTCTGGCTCTGGCCTGGGTGTACAGGTTCCTGGCCACTGTCTTTTCCTTCACTGAGCCCACAAATGTTATCCCATTCACATTCCTGCAACAAAAAGAAAAGATAAAACTCTACAACCTCTATTTCAAAAGCTGTTTGGACTGTGTGCAACTGGGCTCACATGGTGAAGTTGGTGATGAAAGCTCGTTTGGGGATCTGGACATTGAAGCCGATGCTCTGGGCTTTGGAGCCAGAGTTGACGACCGAGCTCCTGACGGTGGTGTGGGCGAAGCGTGACGTGATACGGCTCTCCACCTTGTAGCTCTTGACGGTGATGTCATCTCCACGGATGGCCTTTGTAGGGAATGACCGAATATGTGAGGAAGATTTTTAATATAAAGGTTGATTGGGATTGATTTGCACTTTTTAAGTGAGATGTCCCACTAGACTTGTCAAAACTATAATTTGTTAACATGAAATCTGTGGAGTGGTTCATTTTAATGACTTCAACCTCAGTGCAGGCAAACTTCCAACTTCAGCTACAGATGTTGTTAGCATGGAACTTTCAGCGGCTAGGATGCATGGTGCTAAAAAGGAAACTATCCTGGACAAGAGCCTAAAGTAATCTAACATAATGAATTTTTGACCATTTCAGTTTTTCTCTTCTTTCATCTGAACAATGGATTATATGGAGCTCTATTTGGTGGGAGGGGATGGGTGTCACCATTAGTTCTGTTTTGCTTTAATGTTGGGTATACTGTCAATGTAATTCTTGTTATTGGGTTATTATCAATGCATAACTTGAATTTCAATTTAAAAAAAATCTCAGAAGTTAAGGCACTTAACTTAAGACTTAAGAATTTCTCTTTCTCAGAATTCTTTTTCTGACCTGGACCATTTTTTCCATAGTTTTCCCATCTATCTTAATATTTAATAGATGTCTTTCTCTCAGTTGATTCCTACAATGTACCACAAACAACTAAAGACCTTAAACTGTTATGTTACCAAACTGTTTTTATTCTGCATCTACTCATCTCAACACCTCACTGAAATTATGATGTTTAGAACAGGTGAAATTGTCAAACCTAAGACTCCAACTCTAAATGTTATAGATGTTCTGTGCACAATTTTTCACACAGGTCCCATACAGTTCAGCCAGACGTATTTGTTGCAGTGTCTTTGGAAACATTTGAATCTTCAGACATATTTAAAAAGTTTCGCAGGTTCTGTTGATGAAGTTTGATCCCTTAATGTGTACTTTAAGAGATTAAGGGGTTAAATCTTTCATAAGCCTTGAATAGATTGATTAATTAAATGTTTTATAATGTTAATTACATGTCCAGGAAGAAACACAGTCCATTGGATATTCTTAGTCTTGATAACAACTCCAATGGTCTCAGTCTTGACTTGGTAATTAATCTCTGTGGACCTGGTCTTGCAATTTGAGTATCTGTATGCATCAAGTATGGTTGCTTTGATTTTTAATGCTCCATAGAGTCCAACTCTTTGTTAGCAAGGAGTCAAATTTAAATCAGAAAGCTCTAGGCACAGTTTGAAATGATATAAAGACAGACAAAAAATGGAGGCAGAGCAGGATTAAGGCAGAACAAAGTCAATAACCCTTCAGTCATGGGAATCTCTTCAAACAGCAGCATATTGACTATTAGATAAGGTTAAACTCTGTTACACTGGAGAGGGCTGGAACAACAAGCGGGGGACTCATACCTCAAAGTCTTCCTGCTCCTCGCTGGTCAGTATCGCTCTCTGAAACACACACGTCATCAGCTTAATCAACTCTCTGAGAGAAGATTATAAATCACAAACTGCTGTTATAAAGTGACAGATGGCACAGGATTTCAATCAAGATCAGAGTAGGTTTGTTTGATGATTTGTTCATTTCTGTGTAATCAGTCAGACACATTCCATGGATCTATGATTGCAGTTATTGCAACATCATTAAATCCAACTCATGCTCTGCATTCTACAATTAGATATGTATATAAATAAAAATGTCAGGTTGTTTTGGAAGAAGGTCTCACCTTGTGTCTCTCCCGATGATCCAGTAGTTCTGACTGGTGGCAGAAAGAAAATTATGATAGGAATACAATTTAAATTCTGTATTATTATTTTCTTTTGCAACAATTACAATGCAAAGAAAAAGTTGCTCTAAAAACATAAAGATAAAACATATATACAACAAAGAAAGTTTGTTGTAATAATGATGAAAATCAGATCAAGCATAATTAGGTGAAGATGAATGACATATGTGTTTTTTCTTAAACAATTCAGAGTTGCTTGTATTTTTTATGTGATTTAAATCACATTTAAACAAAAATCAGAGATCATAACATATTAGCAAAAACGACCACTATTTGCAAAACAAAGGTGAGTTCATAAGTGAGTTTTAAAGGGCAATAAAACGCTCTCAAATTAAATACAATGAATCGCTCTTGCAATACTTGAGAGATGAGAAAATAAACTTTGAATCCGTTTTTTAATCAATCGTGTTTAAATTCATATGAATATCATAAAATCCCACAAATACTTTTATCCATCCATTGATTTAAGCATTATCGAAATCAGTCTAAACAGTGAGTTAAGCTGCTCTATTCTGTAAATAAAAAGGGGATTTTTCTGAGATTTTGTCCTTCCCTCAATCCCTGTTAACACCCTCCAACTCACCGTCTCTTCTTCCCATTCTCCATCTATCACAAACTCAAAGCAGCGGCACTGTTGGAGGAGCAGGAGCCCCAGAAGCAGCAGCAGGAGACGCCTCATTTTTCCAGGCCTGTGGGCTCAAACACACATGCCCTCACAAGCATATATTTTAAAAAACAGACGGGGAGACAGACAATCCTTCTGCAGGGAGAACACAGCTGAGCTAAAAACTGAAGGTTAAAATCCACTGAACTGATCGACTCCCAGCCCCAGTCAATATTTGTTGTGTTTCATGTAACCCAGCGTGGAGCAGGAAACTTTGAAGCTTGACCTGCAGTATTGGTAGGGTAAATAGGACAGATTTGACTCATTCATAGGTTAAACAGATGTTTCAAATTGTTTTAACACTTTAACACAATATAAAAGTCATAATCTGACCATCATGGTGCACATTTCGCCAAATATCAGAGAGAAGAACTTTTTCATGGCAGCCAGTTTACATGAGGAAGATGTAATGTTTGCATGATGCCCAATTGCCCACAAGATGGCACCAAATTAAGCCTAACTGCTGAAGCCTTATGTCTCCTAACAATCTAATGCTAAGTGGATTTTTTTAAGTGTCTGATTAAAAGCTTACTTTTTTAGGGAAGAATTTGTATAATAATATAATAATTGTGTTTTTTTTACACTGTAACCAAAAAACAATTGTAAATGCAACGTGTGAATAAATAAAAAAAGTAATACTGGGACTGGAACAAGAGGTAACAAAATATGATAAATAACACTGACTGAATATTTAGTCTTTATGTGTTTCAGCGCCATTTTGTTCTTCCAATTAAATTAAATGAACAAACAAAAGTTTTTAAAATGTACCTTTAGAATGTATTTACGTTCTAGTAGTAGTTTATATTTATATTAATTTACATTGTTGATTATAGAACAGAAATCATATCTCAGGCAGCTGAAGGAAGTTCATGATTAATGGCAGTGATATGCTGCCTTCAAATGCTCCTTGTAAACTCCAGCTTTTGTGTTATGCTCACAGAATGCTGCAGAAGAGGAATGATCGATCCACTGTTAATAAAATCAGAAATGCATTCTAACACTTCTTTTATGAGCACATACACGGCCTTCTAAAGATCTATAGACTTGTCCACCTTCAATATATATAGGCTATTCATATTGCTTACCATAAGTAAAGATAGCCTACTCATGGATTTCCAGTGACTGTCTATGTCAGTTTCAAATCCAGAAGTTTACAAAACAAATACTTGAAAAATTAACTATATAAAGCTAAAGATATAGAAAGCAACAAAGTAATTATGACAAATTGAATTGAACGAATTGAACTTCAGGTTGGGAAAAGTTAATGCCAGCCATAGTGGTGATTAGGCCTTCAAGTAGCACATGTGGGATTTCTCACATTGTGGCAAAAACTGACAAACTGTTAGGAATAGCCTATGATAATCATGGTAGGAAATAAACTGATACCCCCTTCCATGACTTTTTTGGGGGAAGTACAGCTGAATGTCGTTAAAAGCCCCCATAACGAACTTTAAGGAACTTTAAGCAGTTAACGAAGTCTAAGCAGCATCTAATCCTGCAAACAGCTCCTTCTTTTAAGGACGTATTTTTTAGGGGGTTAACGCATAATTGGGAAATTTCCGATACCCCTTGAAGGCAGCAGAAGTCCAAATTGCCACTCATTCAGGAGTGGGACAGAAAACACTTCATCAGTCTCCTCCAGCGGGTGGGCGTGTCCCTCTTGTCCACACCGTGTCGCTCCTCTGTCCGGTCACTCTGATCCTGACAGATAGAGACTCGGAGACGCTGCGTGCTGGAAATAATGTCCCATTTATCTTTTTGAGTTTTACTGGAAAAGGACTACAAGATGCTGCTGTTGATTTTACTGATATGTTTCAGCCCGAGCGTACTGGGGCAACTGGAGGAATCCCAGTTTGGAGATGAAACCGATTCCGACCTCGCAGACTTTGATTTAGACATTGTAAGACATTTAAATGATGAAGGTGTTGCACATTGTGGTGTTTGGATTTCCTTATCTGACTCCTTTTTTGTACACACAGGCGCCACGCAGGGTCCCACGGCAGGTGAAAACCATACTATCCAAGGTAAAGTCAAATTTACTGCAGATATTTAAAGCTATTTGAATATTTATCTATTTTTGTTCCTTCTATTTGAGTCCAAATGCACTCTTGTAGCCTACTTTATTATATAATTTAATAGAAAGCAAAAGGTAATGACATTTTATGTGGTTTATTTAAAATTAAGGATAAGAAGCAATATCAGAGTTTAGGAATTTATGCTGAACTGACCTCCCTAACATTAAGAAACATCTGATAGAATGCATGACCTAGTTTATGTAATTTAGAAGCATACTTTGTCAGCCTAAAGTTGTGCGCTTAGGGCGTGACGAAAGGAGACCCGCCAAGCGCGCAGATGTGCCAGAGTATTTGTAATGCCTGGATCTTAGCTCAATTTAATCTGCCTCACTTTGGTTATTGTAACCATGGGGACATTCAGGTTTACTTTGGATTAGATATCTTGGCTAATCAAAAATAAATAGGGGGATTTTCAAAATGCACATGAGGGCCGTGTAAAATCTTGCCAAATTAGCGTGTTTAGTCCAGATGATAGGTGTATCTGTTGGTGGTTCCTCATCAGTAATGGTGTTGTAACGTTTCCTTTGCAGGAAACCAAACCTCACATCCAGGAACTCTCCATAAAGACCACCATCATCTCTCGCTATGCCTTCACCGCGGTGTACTGCGCCATGCTCAACCGGCACTCCGCCGCTACCGAGGGCGTCTTCCAGTTTCAGATCCCAGCTGATGCCTACGTCTCCAACTTCACCATGTAAGAGTCGTGCAGGTCACCTGACAGTGGACCTAAACCCATAATAAGATTATCAAAACATAGCCTAATAAGGATACAATTTAGGATTTTACATAGCCTACATCAGTGTCACCTGCACGTTGGGAACCACTGCTCTAGCCTACAATGAGTAGGCTAATATTTAAATGGTTCCCATTAAGATGCTGATTCTAATTCCTGTGGATATAACCAATGACTATTGTTATCAGTAAGGTTTGGCAAGTTTTAGTAAGTAATTGCAATACTAGAAATTGGTCAATCTAAGTAGCCTAAGTCTGGATGTTTTGGAAGGTAGGCCTAATGAAAGAAACAGGATTCAGTGGCTGGAAGGCTTTATGATGTTTTAGTTGCTATGGAGATCTTAGGACTCAAAAAAGAGTGAAAACTTTTATACTGTTGTTAACACACACACACACAGAGTGTCCAGAGTTCATTCATGCAGGACTGCTACCCATAAATAGGAAATGACGGGATTTTGTCCACAAATTCTGCCTTTTGTCTGAGAAAACCCTGTTGAAATGCAACAATAGGTGGGCCTGAACATGAGCGCCGCTCTAATCCTCAACCTTTGACCCCTTGAACCAGGATCATTGGAGGGCGTGTCTACCAGAGCGAGGTCAGGCTGAAGGAAAAGAGGGTCAAACAGGAGAACGGCAAATCCAAGAACAAAAAGTCAGGTGATGCAAGGTAAAAGAAACCTGACAGTGTGTGTGTGTGTGCGTGTGTGTGTGTGCGTGCATGTTTCAGTTTGTGTGTGGCCGCTCCGGGCTGACTCCTAATTACACAGCAGCACTCGCTCCCTCTAATAATCCTATTTTGCAAACAGAGACAGAGATACTATCCCAACTAAAACCTCTTTTACTATAATGAAGCAGACACAAAGAGCGAGTGTGTGTTCGGTATGTGTGTGTTGAGCAGACTGAAGTGCGTCTGAAATAAGATCATTGCTCCAGACACGAGGATTGTCATATAAATCTGTGACCCAAGAAGTGACATATGGAAGAAGTGACTTCACGTTTCCAGCTGTCATATGAAAAGTGACGTTTCATTAAATTACATTTATGATTCACTGACTTCTCTGTAAAGGACAGAGCAGAGGAGGAAGAAATGGACTGAAGTGGAAGATGTGAGATTGGACAGAGGCAGTACTTCCATATTTATGACATCAACACTTTGGGCTGTTCGATTCAACACTCCACCTCTTCTGTACTCCTCCTCTGTTGTCTTCTCTTCTCAGCTAATGTTTACAGCTGCTGCTTTTTTATTTCAGTTGATTCTGATTTGATTAAACCTTCGAATTTCAGCCAGTCTGGTGACGCTGTGGTTTGAAGTGTGACTGGGTCACCAAAGCAGCATTATGGCACACATATAGTAAAAGCTAAGCGTAAAATACATACATTAATGAGTAAAGTCAAATCACAAAATCTTATTGAACAAAGACTGAGATACTTTGATCGATAAAAGCAATGAGTTAAGAAAAAGTGAAAAAAAAGAGAAAAGAAAATCTACTATTAACCCAGCAGAGTCACAAGATTAAACCAAGATAACTCTTGACTAAGCAAAGACAACTTGGCCATGAGTAGAATTTGAATATTTCTCGACGTCCCCAGTGGTAGTATCAAAAAGGACACCATGGAAGACAACAATCCACAAAATTACAATGCTGAAATGACCACTTTTTTCCCAGATTGTCAAATTTTCTTTTTTTAAACAAAAACTCATCTAAAAAAAAAAGTTCATGCAGTGGCTTTGAAATAATTTTTCATTTAGCTCCGTGGTGAGAGAGGAAAACACATGAAGATCCTTTTAGCGAATTCAGCGTCTAAGGAATATATTCCTTGAACAAAATACATATTTGGACATTTAAGTTCAAAAACAACTAGTAAGATAGTAGCAACAACAAGAAACTACCATTTGGCTTTTGTGAAAGCCAACTAACATGTTTTAAATTTAACAAGTCAATTAGTTTAACATAACAGAAATAGTTTCCAAAGCATACTGTAATGATTTCTTTTAACTGTAATGACTTATTTATACAGTATATACAGTATGTATCTCAAGTTTTAGTCAAGTCCTTGATATTCATACCACAAAAAATAAGGGGAAGTCAAGCAGCTGCATGCAACAACATGAAAGAATGGAAATAGGCATTTGAACTAAAAACAGAATGGTAGATTGGAAAATGGTGAGAAGTACTGTAATTAAGAAAGCCACAACTGTATGTGTCGGGTGAATGTTTTTCCACAAACAAAACCTATAGGCCTACTATCAGAATAATTTATATGTGTAAATGTGATTGATAGTAGAATTGTCTAATCCAGTGTAGTAGGCCTATTTGTCAATTCTTCATCATAGCCTAATATCACAACTGGAGGACAAAGACTGACTGATGCCACACGTTTAATAAAACATAAACACTTGTCTCACATGCTAAAAAAAATCCAGTTCTGATTTTAAAGTGACATTTTCTCAAACTGTCTCGACCTCCCTCCTCCCCTCCAGTCCTGAGCCGGAGGTGGAAGTGTTCAGGATGGCGGCCAACATCCCGGGTAGGAACCGGGCTGTCTTCCTGCTAACCTATGAAGAGCTTCTGCAGCGGCGGCTGGGACGCTACGAACACGTGACCAGCCTGCGCCCGCTGCAGCTCGTCAGCCGCCTCAGCCTGGACGTCACCATTGTCGACCACTCGCCCATCATGGACCTCCAAGTGCCGCCCCTCCGCAACGGCAGGAGCAGCAGCGGTGCTTCCAGCACTGCAGCTGGACCTAATGCAACCAAGATACCAGGTTCAGATACATTTTATTACTTCATCAGTTATCTCTCTATTACATATTTGAATTTCTTTGTTTATTATTCTTATGTAGATTTGCTATATAGTATTTCTTTCCCTGTTATTTTGATTTTGCTGCATTTTGATTTTTAAAGGTTTTAATTCAATTTTAGCACCATACATATGCAAAAAAAAAGAAGGAAGGAAGGAAGAATCATACTGCCACCTTCATTATAACTCTAAATAGCATCAACTACTCTTTATAAATATGGATTTGTTTAGCATTAAACCCAATGTTCCGGGGGCAGCTGTGGCTCAGGGGTAGAGCAGTCGTCCACTTATCAAAAGGTTGGTGGTTTGATCCCCGGCTCCCCCATGTCAAAGTATCCTTGGGCAAGACACTGAAAACCAAATTGCTCACACACCGATAACACAGCCAAAATGTAGTGTAAAAGTGCTCTCAGTGGTCGGAGAGACTAGAAAGGCGGTATCCAAGTATTTACCATTTTAAAACATGTACCTTGTATTTGACTAAGCCCAGCTCTAAAGCAGTACAAAGAGATCCTTTTTAGAGTCGCTCTTTAAATCCACTCATAGGTCATGGTCACTCTACTTGCTTCAGGGTTTTGTTCTTGAGCCAGTAAAAACAAAAACACACTTCCTGTCTTTGTGCCTAAGCCAACCCTGAGCCTCCCATCACTACTGTGATCAAAAACGAAAAGAACGTCTGCAAGATCACCTTCAGCCCCAACATCGTCCAACAGGCCAAGATCACCACCAACGGCCTCCTGGGAGACTTTGTGATTCGTTATGATGTGCAGAGAGACATGGGGATAGGAGACATTCAGGTGAGAGCACATGTGATGTCGATGTCATCAACAACGCTCATTTCATAAAATTTGACAAGCAAACATGCATAATGTAAAGGTATTGATGAAAACCAGACTGTGAAAGAGCGTAAAAATAGTTTTCATATTTTGCATGTGCACACACAAATTTCCCATACAACTATACGCACACACACTCATCCACACACCTGTTAGTCATTTGTTTCTCTGGTTTCTGCTATCACAGTCACTCCGCTGCCAAACTCTTTCTGTCTGTCTGCAGAACAACACTATGTTTTGCTAATCACACACAACTACTGCAACTGATCTCACCGCCTGTCTGTAAACTTCTTTCTTTCCCAGGTTTTAAATGGCCATTTTGTCCACTACTTTGCCCCCAAAGACCTGCCAGTTGTGCCCAAGAATGTGGTGTTTGTCATCGACACCAGTGCCTCCATGCTGGGGACTAAGATCAGACAGGTAAAGCAGCACAATCTAGAAAACTGTTGCAGTAATGTGTAACCAATTGTTTAAGTACATAGGTAACATCAAATGCAGAGGCCATTTAAATTCAGTATCTGTGTGCACAACTTTCTCTATACAGAGTTTCCACTCCTACCCAGGAGAAAGATTCGAATTTTACTTAAAGTTCTGGTATTTTTGCACATTTTAGTCCATTTACAAAAATTCCTGAGTACTTGGTGTATCACAGGTTTATAGGTTGAGGTTTAGGGGTTTTGACAAATGCATTTTAACTTTAAGTCAGACATTGGTTTCATCTTGCAATAGTTTTTAAAATAAAAGGTTCTTTTAACTGCATTACTATGCAGTGTTAACACAGTTTAGGCGACAGAATGTTATTTGTGGTATTGAGTATGAAAGTTCCAGCTTTTTCCGGAGCTTTCCGCTGCATCTTTCAATCTTTCAATCTTCAACAGTGGATGGGGATCGGAGAAAACTCCATCTGCTAAAATAGATCATGATATTGGGTTAAAATCACCTATAAAAAGCTGATAAGCGGGGCTCAAGTTAAGATAATTTCGCCAAATATCATTGTGATGGATTAATTCAAAAACTGTGGCTTCTAAAAAAGGTCAGGATTATTATCAAATTTGCAGTATTAGTAGTAAATGGGATAAAACATGCAAAAACACTAACAACTGTGTTCTTTAACTGTATCAAAACTTGGGGGGGAGGGCAGTCCATGCTTCATTATAACGCATTAGTTATATCAAGCCAGTCTCTGAGTGATAGTGGACTGAAATGGATCTGTTCCCAGTGAGTGGTTTTAATGCCCATATTTGACTCCAGAATTTAATTAAATCTGAGGGAAACTTTTATCTGCTGCATCAACAATTTTGGGATTGAAGCTGATACCTCTGGTATATTTTCACATTAAAGCCTTACTGCAGCTAAAAGTTCCAGATGGACCAGAAATACCAGATATGAACTCTCTCTTGCTTTTTCTGAGTGTGTCAGAGGAAATCCAATGAATTTTCTTGCTTCCCGTGCAACGCAATTTACCCTGTTTTTATACAGAATTTCAATGGCTGTATTGGATCTGAAACCTGACACCCCCACCTCCTCACTCCCACACTGGAATATCAATATCAGATCTTTTCCTCCATCTGCAATAGCATGATAATCCCCTCGGCCAGACTCAGAGTTGATCTCTGCAGCTGCCGTGAGTGAACAGTACAGACACAGTAAAGGAGAAGAGAAACTGGAAAACAGATTTTCAGCGAGAAAGAAAAGTGGAAACACACAGCACAAGGCTTCGCTGTGAGGGAGGAAGGTCAGTGTCTATGGGGTAATGGAACTTTCTAGACAACAGCACCCTCGACCCCTTGATCCATCCCCCCACCCATCGCCACCCCCCAGCGGGCCGCAGGAACAGAACAACAAGTGTGTTTTGATGTGACTCCACAATAGAGGGTTTCACTGTAGGTCAGTTTGTGGTCCTGACCCCTGCTGTATACAGCCCATATATACATCTATAAACCCCTCAGAGCCAAATTATATATCACACCTACGCTCTGGGTGCAGAGATGCTGAGACTGGGAAGCTCCAAAAGTAGGCAGATGTTTTTAAGTACTTTTACTTGTCTTTTTCCTTGTACGGACACATTTAAAGCAAGTTAGAAGGCAGCAAAGAGTGACTGATGCTGAATAATTATACAACTTAAGATTTAACTGATTTGTTATACTTGACACCTTAAGGGTCTGGAGTCAAGTGTCATAGTTAAACTGGAGACAGTATAGCCTATAAAATAATGATTAAAAGATATAACCCATGAATCATAAGCAAGCAGCCAAAACTCTACCATATGCATGTATGCATGCATAATTTTCTTAGTGGAAACTCCTTTTTTCTTTCCAGAATATTGTTTCTGATGGATTTTTCTCAGCGTCAATGCAAGGATTACAAAGTCTCTGTTTTTTAAAACAATTGCACATGGAACCCATTCAGCTCCCACTGGATGCACTGAAAGATGCATGACCAAAGTCAAGCTATAAAGTAGGAAGCTTTTAGTTCTCAAAACACTGATGGGTAGACACGCTTTAATCATTACAGGTAATTAACAAACCTTTATTTCAAGATGAAATTAACTTAAGTTTTAAGATCAACTAGCTTTCTGTTCTTTTAAACACATTTTTGACACTAGACACTAAAACTATTGACACCACCCTCCTGGGCTCATATCATGGGTGGAGTGTGTATATGTGGAAAATAAAAACAGCACCACTGGTCAAATGGTCTAATCTAAAATCTAGCTTTAAAATACAATATGCATGGCTACATCACACAGAACATGGCCATGTTGACACAAGATTTCTCACATTTTTCTCACACTCGCTGTCACATATAGTTTGAAGAATTTGATACTAAAACCCCAGTCCTGTTTCTAGATGTGAATGTTAAGATGAAATATAGCACATAATCATCTGTAGGGTGTTTTCCTCAATCAGTAATCAATAAAAGTGAATTATCTCAAACAATTGGAGGATTTTTTGTGTGCTGAATGTGTGTTGCACTAATTCTTTCTAATGTTTTCTCTCCTTTTCCTATTTGGATTTACATGTAGAATGTTATGAAATCATTTCTCTTTCATTTTCTCTCTCTTTCTCAGACTAAAGATGCTCTGTTCACCATACTGAGGGATCTGCGACCTGCCGATCGCTTTAATTTCATCAGCTTCTCCAATAAGGTCAAAGTTTGGCAGCCGAATCGTCTCGTACCAGTGACGCCCCTTAATGTCAGAGACGCCAAGAAGTTTATTTACACGCTGGCAACTACTGGAGGTGAGACATTATTTGTCCTTTTGGCTTGTCATCTTTAGAGTTCCTATATTTTGAGAAACATCATTCTGTTTGTTTGATTAATGTGAATCGACTTTTGTGCAACATGTATGTAAATATTTTATTCATGGTTCACTGAAGACTATAAGTGTACTATGAGAAACAGTGAATATGCAATAAATATGGTACTAATTCACTGCAATTCCCTATTCACGTTTTTCTGAGCAGTAATCTGTCATGACTTCTCTTCACTGCAGGCACAAACATCGACGGTGCAATCCAGACTGGCTCCTCTCTGCTTCGTGAGTACCTCTCAAGCCCTGATGCCAGCCTGAACAGCGTCTCCCTTATTATTTTCCTGACGGACGGACGGCCCACGATCGGGGAGATCCAGTCCCCTGCGATCCTGGGGAACACACGCTCAGCCGTGCAGGAGAAGTTCTGCATCTTCACAATCGGTATTGGGAACGACGTGGATTACCGGCTGCTGGAGCGCATGGCTCTGGAAAACTGTGGGATGATGAGACGTATCCACGAAGACGCTGACGCCAGTGCCATGCTCAAAGGGTAAGAGTTTAATTTGTGCTCTGTGTCTCCGTCAATTCAATCGATATGTTTCTATAATATTTCTTTCATCACATGCCATCTTATCCTACTAACTACTAATTGGATAATTGTTCTTTGGAGCGACCAAAATGGGCATGCTCATTATCCCAGCTTCTAGATGACCTACACTCATGATTCTGGTGGCTCCACCTGCTATTACAGGGTCAAGGAATACCACGGTGCTAAAGAAATGAAGATGGCTTCTCTTCATGTCTGAAACTGGTTCCTAAATGGTCTTATACTGGATTTAAACAGATCTAAAATGGTTATGAAAATGACCTGAGACTGGCTTAAGGGGGTTTTCAAGGTTGTGTTGTTTAGTCTGGTTGAATCTGATACATTTCCCCCCTTGGTATGATTCGTTTGAGCAGATATGAAAACAGCAAACACACTCAGGTTCAGACCAAAACAACTGCCCCACAAGACAGATTCTAAGGTGTACTGTGTACGTTTGAGCTGAACGTCTGCTGTAGCCATGAGCGCTTTACATACTGGGATGTGGATGAGCAAAATCAACAGTTGCTAGCAGCTTTCCAGAGACTGAATCTAGGTCTGACCTGGACTAGCGAAGTATGATGCCTTTCTTGACATCTGTGCAGATAAGACCTTCTTCGTGTGTTTACTTTCTCGCTGCCGCCCCAGACACATCTAACCAATGAGTAATGAACATTCTCTTGTGGCATTTATCGATGCATTTTGGTCAGCTTGATTTTTTTCTGTGTAAAAAGAAACCAAACCAAATGGAAAACACTTCAACGTTACCAACTCATCCCACTGATTCAGACCAGACCAAACTTTAATAAAACCCTAAAATTGGTGTGTAAAAGTGCTCTAAAATCTGGCCTGACATTGGACTGAAAGTATGCTGCCCTAAAATTGGTACTGATACTCAGGTGTATTAATTTAGTGTGAAAGTGGTCTAAGACTGGTTTCTCCATGAAGTCTGGGAATGGACTAAAATTGTTAGATAACTTGTCTAAGACTGGCATGACACTCGCCTGAAGCTAGAAGTCCTAGAATTTATTTATGGATTTCAACTTGCTTCGATCTTTTAAAACAGTGGCTTGAAACCAGAAGTCCCTTTTTGACGGCTATCCATAAAACACCTACTAGACAGAGAGTGGGTGATCAGAACGTGAAATAATAAAACTAAGAATTTCTCATTTATAAGAAGATATCATGATTAGTACTTTAAATATGTAATTATTGTCAAATTCCCCCATCATATGTGTATAATCCACCTCTTATTAAGCAATTAGCTCTCCTTAATCCCTCCCCTCTACCCCTCTGACACATCTCTCACCAAGCTGTGAGGGAACGATGACTGCAAATGTGACGGTGCTGACAGCAGACCTCTTTAATCAGCTTCAACATGTGACACATACAGACTACAACAGCCACCCTCTTTCTCCTTCAGACCTTTTTTTTTTCTAGCCTTTAAACACAACCCTCTTCTCTCTCTCTCTCTCTCTCTCTTCCGCACTTGGACACACAAGATGTTTGTTCAGTTGAGCAGGAATGTGTGCGTGTTGTGAAACCTGCATCTGACTATGTACGGGGTATTAACAGACTCCATAGCCCTCATCCTGCTTGAACAAACACGCTGGTTAAGAGGTGAGGAGGTTTACTGCGGTGTGACAAAAAGGACAGGATGGAGGACACACACACAGACATCCACAACCTCTGCTTTATACACACTCTTTTATGAATGTGTGCACAAACTCTGAAGTGGGGTGGCCGTAGCTTTGAGAGGTTTGACAAGCTGGTTTATGGCCGGAAGGTGGTTTGTTTGAATATACAAGACATTTAATGAAATCTGTTATAATATCCTTAACAGTTTGGATACTGTTTTCATAATGTGCAAAAATAAGCTAAAAGCAAGTTCGAGACAATTTATTGGTGTATTGGTGTGGCTACAGGAGACTGGTGGGGAGACCAAATATAATTCAGTAAATATTACGGCAATTTACAAAGCAGGATTTTACAGCCTCTGAAAGTTATTATAGCATTAATTAGCTCAGGCTGAGGCTTGCAAGTTAAACAGTAAAATTAGCACAATGCTACAGGCAGACACTGTCCTCAACAGAGAAACAACACCATTGGTCATCTATTGAGACACTTAAAACAACCTATGTGTAAGGTTTTCCTGAAAAGTCGTGTGAGTAATGATTGTCCTGTCTGAGAGGCAAAGGTGGAAGAAGCACAAAGTTCTTTTAGTGCTGCAAAACCTCAGAACTGTCATACACGAGACAACAGTTTGCATCCCGTCTTCTACTAACAACGAACGTTGGTTTCTTTTAGCCATGACCACAAACATTATCTGAGTTTTAGTTGCCCTAACTTAACCAAGCCATTAGCATAGAGGTGGCAGAAAAGGACACCAGAACAGATAGTACTCATTTAGGTTATTAGCACTTACAAACAACCTATTTTGCCGTTTACTTGATTGCTGCCTTGCTGGGGTCATTTGACTGTAACTTATCATTTGTGCAACGATTTAGCTACAATCCAAGATGTCTCCTCGTTCCTCTCTAGGTTCTACGATGAGATAGGAACTCCTCTACTGTCTGACATAAGGATAAACTACACAGAGGACGCCGTCCAGTACGTCACTCAGCATCTGTTCACAAACTACTTCAACGGCTCTGAGATTGTCATCGCCGGCAAGCTGACAAACCAAAGTGCAGAATCACTCCACGTCCAGGTTACAGCCAGCAACAGCGACAAGAGCATCATCCTGGAGACCGACGTTCCACTGCTGCACCGACAGATAGAGACTGAGAAACACGTGAAAGCAGCCACAGCAGCATTGGCGACTGGGCTTAAGGCTCCAGCATCAGGGGTCACACAAGCATTAGGAGGTACTTTGGATTCAATGGCAGAAGATTTTGTGGAACGTCTCTGGGGTTTCCTGAGCGTCAAGGAAGGGCTACGGTCGAGGCTGCGCAGCCAAACCAGCAAGGAGAGGGAAGACCACATCCAGCAGGCCACCAATCTGTCTCTGACCTACCACTTCCTCACTCCCCTCACCAACTTGGTGGTGGAGAAGCCTGAGGTCCTGGCTGACGGCACCATGGCCCCGTTGCCCACCATCACCCCAGCAGCTGGTGAGGCTGTCTTAAATGCTAATGAGCTGCCAGATGACACAGAAGATGGAAAGCCACAGAAACCCAGTGGGAAGCCAGGCAGCCAGACTTCATCTCTGGGCAACAAGATTGGTGAGGTTGTTTCTCCTACATTTAGTTATACAGGGTGTCTGAAACACCACATGTAAGGATAAAGACTGATTGCCTCAACTGGGGCTGAAACCTTCAACTTCCTTAAAATAATACTCCACCAAAATTGTTTTGTGTGTCTGTTTATGGAGGACAGGAGCTGCAGTTAACTTGGGTTCACAACAGTGACAATGGATTTCAACTGTGCCTGATTTTGATCACCAAAAAGAAGAATCATCATGTCAACTGAATCTTCTAAAACCATTCCTGCACCATAATCAATATTTCTGCCAAATAAAAGAAAGATAAACTGCTTCTTCCTGTTGCTAGGATGATCAGCTCTTCACCTTTGTGGCAAACAGGCTATTTATTAAGCCATATTTTGTAGAATATACTCACATTTCCTAGACAGGGAGGTGGACTATTCTTTTTTGCATCATTTAACTAGGTTACCTTTGGCAGCCACTGTAGCTGTACAGCTATTGTCCACTGCAAAGGCTCAGACTACAAACTTTTCAGAGCTACATTACAAACCTAGAAGGGGTGATTGTGATTTTTGGTGGAGTATAACTTTAAGAGAACATGCAGACCATATAACTTTTCTCTCTCTTCAGACATCCTGTATTACACTAATATCTGACCCACCGACAATTAATGTTACTCATATGGAAGATTTGAAGAGGAAGCTTTGAACAACGGTAGCCCTCTGACTCATTGCAGCAGATAAATATTCTCTTCTTTGTAGGTAAAGCTGAAAGGAGACCCGCCAAGAAATCCATCACCATCTCCAAAACATCAGGTGCCTCCGCGTTATCTCTCTCTCTCCCTTTCTTTTCCCTGCCTGTTTCATCTGATAACGTATGAACCCTATCTACTGTACGCATATATGCAAGGCTCCATAAGGAGACTTGAAAGAGAGGAGACAGGGAATGTACAGTAGACTCTCTCTGTACACTCTCCGCATGGGAGGCCTGTAATTTGGACGTCAGACAGTCGGCAGTGATCACACAGACAGCGAGGGGTTCAAGGATGCCTCTGAACATGACCTGCAAAGAGGAAGAAGAACACACAGGGTCTAATTGAAATACCAACACGAGCACTACGTGGCACTTTAAACATGCAAGTGGTGTTTCGCAAAAGCACGCCCACACACACACACACACACAGTGGTGGCGAATGGGACAGAGTTGAGAGATGAGAAGTGGACGTTTGTGTATGTTTTACAGTAAAGAGAGGGACCCCATCAGAGGCAGTTAGTGAGGGCTAATGACCCTGTCATTACTGTTGCTCTATCATCTACTCTCAGCTCATCACTCCTCTATTCATCTTAGCTGGTTCTCACAACCCTGGAGAGACTCTAGCAAAAGATATAACCTATCTGAAAGTACCCAGTCTTAAACTCTTTATACAGATCAACAGAAGGCCTTAGAAAACCTACCAATCAGCTGCTGCCTTACTTTATATTCGGTAGAAGGTTTACAGAGATGTGTACTTGAGATTGCAGCTCAAGTTTTTTTGTTGTTGTTTCACTTCATTTGGAAAATGAATCCATTAGTTTTTGTTGTAATAATTAATAAATATAATTCTGACCAATATCCTTGCTAACCTGTGCTGAACTAACATACGTAACCAAATGGGTTTTCTCAAACAGAGACAGTCTTTTCTGGAGCCGAAGCATGTCCCTGTAGTTTCTGTCCAAAGCTGTGTGGGTATCTATCTGTACTGTGCAGCGGAGCTGTAACCAGGATTTAGAAATAGTGACATAAGTCCTAATTCAACCAGCAGAACCCCACCAACCAAACTATATAACAAAATATAACAATACATACATATACAACTCCCTACATAATGACCTGCAACACAAGGTATCTAATTCTGGTAGAGAATACGTAATTCCTTTCATTAAAAAGTATGTTTGTTTATATGTTTGCGCCTAGACACGATCAAATTTAGTAAATCTAAGAAATTATCTGTATCAGCCATAAAAACAACAATATATGGAATATGTATTTAATCACAGGATGTAAAGTCTAAATGTCATTATAAAACCTGCAAATTTGCCTTTGGGCCTACTTGTTATATTCTTATAATCTTTTTAAAGTTTGTTTTCTTCTCTCTCCTACCTTTAAACTCCCTCAGCGGATGGTGACCCCCACTTTGTGGTTGAGTTCCCGCTCAGTAAACTGACTGTGTGCTTCAACATCAATGGTGAGCCTGGACACGTCCTGCGCCTGGTTTCTGACCACAAGTACTCTGGTAAGCTCATATTGCTGTTAAACCTCATAAATTTCACATCAAGATCTACTTCATTTATGGTTTGGGTGGATCATTTGCGTTATGCATCTCCAGGTGTGACAGTGAACGGTAAGCTGATTGGTGCCCCGGCTCCACCGGGCAGCCACAAACAGCAGCGCACCTATTTCAGCGCCATCACCATCGTGGTGGATCATCCCAAACGTGCCTACATCGAGGTAACACCAAAGAAAGTCATCCTGGACGGGCAGGACAGACTGGTGCTACCCTGCCACTCCACAGTCACAGTGGACAGCGGTGCTCTGTCAGTGTCCATTGTGGGAAGGTTTAATGTGACTGTGACGGTCGGAGGAAACATCATCTTTGTGATCCTGCTGCATCACTACAAGAATCCAGCCCCCTACCAGAGAGACCATCTGGGGTTCTACATTGGTCACAGCAAGGGGCTGTCACCCAACTGCCATGGCCTGCTGGGTAGGTGTTAATGAGGGTTTGAGCTTTAATTATGTGCTGATTGTGGATTGATCTTATCTGAGATGGATAAATTCCATTATAATTTGCCATTAAACATGCCTAAAAGCCCCACGGTCAGCCACTAGAAGTGACATAATATGTTACATCACACAATATCATAGTGTCAGACTGAACAAATATACTGATAATTCAATTCTTAAACCCCCACCACTTTTGGGGCTAAAAGGGGAATCCCAGGAGAAGTCAAGTGATACAAATATGTTTAGAAACAGAAACAGAGATGTTAGGAGTTGTGTTTGGTAGTGTGAAATTAGGGTGGGTTTGCTATAGATAGTTTTGGAAGAGTTTAATTAGTATTTGTTTGAGTGCATGTGTGAAGGAGCGTTATGTATCTATGAGCACCCTGCTGGGTGAGCGTTGGTATGTTATGTGATGTGATAAATAAAATAAATTTAAATAGCAAATCAATGAAAGAATAATAACGACAATGTTCATAATGAAATTGAAAGCCAGATTGATTGCCAGGGAAGGTTTTGTCCCTTGTGAAGCACAAAGTTTCATGGAAATCTGTTATTTCTTAAGTGAGGGTGGTGGCTAGAGAAGCAAAAACATTAGTAATCATCCTGTGGGACAGCAAATTTCATAGAAATTCAGAAATTATTTTCAATATACCGGACCAGTAGTTTAAAAGGCCCTGGTCTTACTCCATAGTGTTGGGCAAACACAGCTAAGTAAAATGCCAAAAAAAACACTTTTGAAGGGATGAACTGCACTTGCGACACAATGTGGAACTAGGCCAAAAAAATCGAATATTGAGAAAAGAAGGTTCAATTTAAGCATTTAAATTAAAGCTAACATTTTGGTCAGTAGTAAATTTGCTCCAGTGAAGATTTAGTGACCAAAACCATGGCGTTATTCTTGTATTCTCCTTTCTTGACAGTGCTTGTATTTTTATGTAAAGACTTTTTGACTACTTAACATCAACACAAACTCTAGTGTTACAGGCTGTCCTTCAAAACTCCTATCAGTCAAACTCGGAGACTAAAATAACATGAACCTTTCAGGTCAGTTCCTGTATGAGGAAGTGGGACTGGCACAGCTTCCTGCAGAAGGAGACATGAAACCCTCGTCCATCCTGAAGGTGAAGGACCGCTCAGTGCCGGTGGTTCAGAAGAGCAGGAGGATCTACAGCGGGACTCAGAGCGTGGACTGCTGGTTTGCCCGGAACAACGCAGCCAAGCTGATAGATGGACAGTATGAGGACTATTTGATGTCACACATGTTTGACACAGGGGACTGGCCACACGGGACTAACAGAGTGTGACACCATGACCACAAACTGTAGCATTTTTGCCATTTATTTGACTTAACTCTTTTTACTGTGTATCACATGCCAACAGATCCCAAACATTTCACCTGTCAGTTGTCTTTTCACCTCCAGTTTCTTTTGAATATATTTTTTTACTTAAATAATAATTAATGTTTTTATTATGTGTATTCTTTTTTTTTTTTACAGTAATTTTGTAATTCTAAATTAAACATTTAAACCCACATTTAGAGGTTGTTTTCTGAGACATAAAAACTCATATCCATTGGCTTTTGCTCCCATTTGCAAGTGCATACATGTGTTTTTCTTACACATCAAATTATATATATGTATACATACACACAATTTTACACCTGAAAGTCCGCACCAAGGTCTGAACCAAAGTTAATGTTTTGATACATTCGGTTAGTTTTGGTTTGGTTTCACACTGCAATTCTGCGACCGCACTAAAGGACTTCACATGACACACTTGCGTCCTGTCGTCATCATCTATGCGCACTGCGTCTCCCTGTACTTGACATTGATTGGTTTATTAAACAGTTCAGCTGAGAGCTTTGACAAGAATGAATGAATAAAAAAATTAACATATGCATATTTGCCACTATATTATTATTATGGCATTACTATCTGCAGCACCAGCATCATGGTTCAGTTTGATCTGGGCACGGAGCTGAAGATCACACCTGGTTACCACAGAGACAAAGCCTGGTAAGGCTCGTCTCTGCGCCAATGACTAGATGTACACCTAACCCGCATAACACACAAATACGCACCTGTCATCAGCTGGAGGTCACAGGGCTGCTCGCCCCGCCCACACAGGTGTGCTCCGACCAGGTCCCGCTCAAGTCCGTCAACGCGCTGCCTCGCCCCGGCCGCCGCAGGAATTCAACACCAAACACTGGTTCATATGTCAATCATCTTTATTCATAGTACAGATTTAAGAAATACATTCTGTAAGAAGCACCGTGATAGTTTTCAGTCCGTTAATGACACTTCAGGTCACGCTGTGCCATTTTGTCCACATAATGCGGTTTACAAAAAGAAATACATACAAGATATAGTGGAACAAAAAGTAAAACATGATACATACATACAGATGGAGTATTTCAAACTAAACCTTCCTGATATTAAACCGTACATGTTAACAGGAGAATGGAAAGGAATGTTTCGATGATAAATAGCAAAATATCTGATGACATGTATGTCAATCACACCAAGCACAGAGCTCATTTACCACCTGCAGTTTGGTGATTCTCCCACTTGCTCTACTTTAATTCTCCCATTCTAATGTTGTTACCACAGATTGGACCACAACATACTATTTAAAGTCAAGTGCAAGTAAAATATGACCAGAATAAATAAAAGTAATGTGCCATAACCTTGCAAACATTCAACACAGATACTGTATCATCCCTCTGAGAGTATTATTATGATGAGAGGGACATTTTAGGGGGAAAAAAAAATTGGAAATGGAGATTTTCAGAATAAAAACAAAATAAAGTTGTACAAATTATAAAAATATAAACTTTTAAAATTTTATAAACAGTAACACATGTAAAGACATAACATTTCAAAAAATGGGTCGTTACATTTTGAAAAATGTCAACAAAAATTCTGATCTTATTTTTAAAAAACCAATATCAATACCACTCTAATATGTCTCCGTTAAATAGGACATGGTTAGGGAAACAGCTAGCAAAGATCGGAAGTTCAGGAAGTCACTGCACCCAACCAAGAAAAAGCCCCCATATAACTCCTCACGAGACCCCAACATGTTGTTTATGAACTCTGGATTTGGTAAAGATTAAATGAACAAGATCCAACATGTTAATAAGTGATCTTTCAGCTTCATTATTTAGCATGTAGATGTGTAAATGCTATTCATCATCTTAGCTAACTCTTGGAAAGAAAGGCTTTTCCTTTTAGAGAGTGAGTCAAAAACAGTGTACTTACACTAGAAACATTTAGACTAAGCTTCCCCTAAAGTATCCTGACCTTTGTCTTGTTTGACTTTTTCTAAAACTTGAATTTTTTCCTCAAAATATTACATTATTCTGAAAATCTCACATTTTTTTCCCCACAAACAGTGGCCCCAATACTCCATCATATATAACAAACATACAAATCATTGCAGAAACATAGTTTGTCCTGGTCCTTTAAACCATGACATGAAATGATTTCCCACCCAGATATACATCTTTTAGAAGCAGCCTGTTGCAAAGAACAAAAGCGTTTCCATTTAACCACGGCTTTCAACAAGATGTGATCCATCGTGACTGCAGCAGCCGAAAAAAAAACAATTAAAAATCAACAGGTAGTTTTAAGAAACCATTAACCCCCTTTCAAACTTAAAATAAGCAGCCAGAGGGAGAACGTGCAGCAATGACTATAATTATAAATTTAAAAAGGTAGATTTAAAGTGATTCTATTTGAGTAAAATCTTAGAACTCTTACTATGTACTTTACTCTCTTGCTCCTCTTTGGAATATGATACATGATAAATGACTCTCTTTAGAGAAACATCATTCCCAGAAGTCCCCAGTGTGGAGACTGTATTACCACCCGCACATTTTGCCCTGCGGCTGCTGTACTCCTTAATAATCTTTCTCCACACACGTTCAGTTGTGGTTACTGAGATTTTCTTTTGCAGCAATCGGAGGCAGCAAGGTGAGAGGATAAAGAGCTTTTATTTCCCAAAATGCTATTTGATTTACATGCATATACTGAGTCAAACTCCAGTTGTAACAATTCACACCTTCAGTGCAGAAGAAGGCAGCTAAGGCTGTAGTGTTCACATTCACAGGTTATATGACTGTGCCTTATACTGCATGAGGATATTTAGACCTTTAGTTTTTCTGTGTGCTCATATTAAGGCTCTTAAGAGTGTTTTGTGTGTGGATAGTGGACGGAAGAGGTCACATCACCTGGGTTTACGCCACCACCCAGCTGGGTCTCAGTGGTCCTCCAGAATACTGCACATGAGGGACTGGTCCGACATCGCTGGGGTCTTCTTCCCCCTCTGAAGCCTCATCTGTGTCTGTCTCGACGGTCAGCAGGACCTGAGAGAGAACACAAAAGAGTTTGATGGATGCCGGCCTCAGTAGCACGGGACAGACCAGACGCTAAAAGACAAACGTACAGGCAAGTAGTTCAATGCCGCCGTTTAATGTTTGGATTCTGCATCCTCGACAAAAAGCTGGGAAATATCTCAGTTCTGCATTCCCAGCCTAAAGTGGAAAATATCCCAGTTCACTCGCAGCCTGGAAGACACTCTCCAGCAGCAGCAGCAGCAGCAGCAGCAGCGATTAAAATCCCAACGGAGCAAAATTCCACAACTATTTGACATTTACAGCATTATAAACTTCCATGTGCTGCTTTATGTTAGGGTTTGATGTGTGGGAAACAGGGAAGGGCATTTCAAGCAAAAATACTATTTGACAATCAATGGGAACTATTCAAACATTCAACAATCATGACCCATCCCTAGAGGGAAAGCTGCTGAAAAGACCACTTTGAAGAGCCGTACAGATTATAATTTTGGGATAACGAAAGGCCTAGCCTCGTGCATTACTGTCTCCAACAGTTTCTTATTTTAAAGTCTGGAAACTCACAATTACTCATCAGTTTCGATTGGACAAAGGTAATATCAAACACTCTGATTATCTGATTATCCCCAATATAACCTTGATGTCACACCAGCAACAACAACAACAGCATTGTGACTATTACTTCGACCACCACCCCCACCAAGACCTCATCCAAGTCAATGCCTCTCTATCTCCACTTCACTCTGCTTTCCATAACATCAGAGCGTGGACACGACTCCTAAATGTCACTTTTATTCCCGGGATGAAGGCATGATTTATGGCCGCCTGGCAGACGACCAGGGAAAAGGAAAGAGGAGGGAGGGAGGGAGGTATAAACACTCTCATCCCACTGAACACAAGGGTCATGCACTCGTCATTTGTCCTGATGTCTGTCAGTTAAATAGTTCCCGAGAGAGCGGAAAAAATAAATGACATGTGCTTCTGTTCTGTTTGGAGGCGCCGGCGGCTTTTAAACCGATTCCCTGAACACAACAACTGGCCTGCTACAATTTTATCAGCCCAGATAAACCAGCACTCGAACCAAAACTCACAGGAGCCGATTAAAGAGTCTGATTCCAGCTTGGGATGTTTGTTGCATGTAATCACTCTTCATGTCTTACCCTTTGTTTCTTGTCTCTGTAGGTCTACAAGCAAATAAATGGTAGAAATGCTACATGAAATATTCTCCGATTTACCCAAATTACAAAATTTCGAATAAGCTGTGAACACCTTTTAGACCTACACTACACAAAAGTATATGGCTACCCCAAAAAGAATGTGGCCACCCAGTTCATGTTATAACAGCATGATAACATGAGCAGAAACTGATCAAAGTGGGCCTCTGCAAGGACTCATGTTTGCCATAACAACAAAATGAAAAAGGATCTTGAAGGATATTACATTTTTACTTTTTGGAAATAAAAAATGAGACTTCCACAGAAAACCAGAATCCACCAACTCAACAGTAACGAGGGAGGACAGTCTGACTCAGTATTTCTTGGACTGAATACATCTGGGTTTGTTCCTGACTAGATGAAGTGTAGAGAGAAGAAATTTGTATGGCTTCTCTACGCTGTGCTCACCCCCCAAAACAACAGGTGCAGTTGACAACCAGCGTGACTGTGTTGGTACATCGACCGTCAACACCCGTTTTCACACACATTTAAGTCTTCATCAAAAAAGCAAAGATATTAAATGGTCACATTTCTGTTTGGGAACAGGCTTCAGCAAACTTTTTCATCATCAACACCAAAAGTAATCCCTTTAAAGGCCAAATGAGTCACTTGCACAGCAGATGGCTCAGTCTGACATCTCTATGTGGCCTGGAAAGAGGGCATTAAAAGTATTTAAACTGTTGTATTAAATTTTTTACACATTTAAAGGCTACCTGGAATTTAGAAAAAGACTGACACACAAATCAAAAAAGAAAGCGGACCGGAAAATATTGTGCAAGCTTTCATGTGTTCTTTAGACTTCTGAATAGCAGTATTATACTGTACAAAATTAATTTTATAATATTTTTTAAAAGCTGGCAAACATTTACTAGCGTACATTTCTGCACTGATAAACAGCACCTCTTATAATGCAATGGACGTTTACATTTTTATTTTGAACAGACAGCTTTTGTTTAATCTAAGAAACCTTGCAGCTTTGCTCCAAAGTCACGATGTGATCCTCTGTTTGTTCAAGTTCATTACATCTGTAATTGGGAACTGATACAGAGATTATCTCTAGAACGAAACAGGTGGTTTAATTACACGAGCGATTGAAAACGATGAGCAGCTGTTAAACAGAGCTCACTTTGCTCTGTTTTGTTGGACTTGTTAAATATACATATCAGATATTCTCACCCGTGTGTCATCAATGTTTGCCCGGGGCAGCGAGTCAGTCTTCTTCGCCGAGCTGTCACAGGAGTCATCCAGGCTCTTCATCGTCTTGTACTTCCTCATTGTCAAGCTGTCCACCACCCAGAACATGATGGACTACAGGGGGAGCCAGAGAGACAAGACTGGGCTTACTAACGCTGCAAAGATCCACGACCGAACTCACATCTTATTATATATTATTATATATGACCTTAACGATTTAAGGCAAAGTGACTACTCACATTCACTATGAAGGGCACAATGAGCATGACCAGCGCCAGCTCCACCTGAGGGTTAGTAATGTAGCTCAGCAACACCTCCTGCAACTGGAACAGAAGAAAGGAAAGTTTTACATACTTAAATATGAATAATGGGCACGTTCAACAAAAAGCTGTTGAGTGAGAAGATTTATATTTTACTAAAAATGAAATGCGCCATAATTATGTCAAACAAATATCAACAGAAAGACGAAGACAAAAGGACAGAGAGAAACAAGACTCGGCTCGCAGCTACTCTGCACCAGAACAAACAGTTGATACTATTAATAATATTAATAATCTATTTTAAATCATCTTTAAACAAAACAAGTAGGGTCTCCGAACATCAGAGCGCTTTACATAACAAAACTCCTTCTATATGGAAATACATAAAAAATAAACTGCTTTTCGATTCATCAGAAAGGCATCTGTGGCTATGACAAGGGCTAATTTGAATAAACAAATATGATCCCCGATGTCATGCAAACAAACTGTCCTTCAAATGCATTAACTTTGCCTCTATGTCTCCATTAGAATCAAAAGGAAAGTCATCTTATATTCCTCCACTTGTTTATTCTCTCTGTAACGACAAACCAAACAAAGCCAAAATAGAAACGAGAGAAGAATGTTCAAATCTGCTGATTTATTCATGCAGTCTGGTCAGCCAGGATCAGTTTGGGATGTAAAAATGTTCTGTTTGTAACAAAAGAAGGACTGAAAACCTGGGTTTCAGTTGAAGTAAAGTGGGGTTCATTTGGCACAATTCTCGCTCTGAAATCTCATGAGAGGCGAGTTGTTGCAAGAAATGGCAGTGGAAAAGAAGGTGAGGTGTTTGTTGTGTACGTAAAGGAACTGCTAGCAAGACTTTATTTCCCAACGTTACTCCAACACAAAAAACTCCTCTCTCCAGCTCTGACTCAAGTTTCCACCATCGTCTTCCTGCAACAGTCTTCCTGCAACAACTCGCTTCTTGAGATTTCAGAGCAAGAATTGTCCTTGAGTGAGACTTCTGTTTCCTATTAAAAACAAAGAGTGTCACTGTGAGTCACTGGTAGGGATCCTTCCCATGATGTTGTCAGACACCTGGCATAACAGTCTGAGCATGTCGTGACAAAAAGAAGCACTTTTTGTGGACGTAATTTTGACGGTCGCAATTTTCCCGAAGGAATACGTTGCAGCCACTGCAGCCGGTTTGTGGAAGGCGGCTGAAACCATCTACTGCGTGGATGACAAAACCTTTTGTACCCGTTATTCATTTCAACACCAAAATATGTTAAAACACGGCCAAGGTTTAAAAATACCAAAAATATCCTTTAAGTCTAGTCACAGGCTCGGCCGATGTTAATATTCTACTAGTTCTTCCTGTGTTTTTGGATAAATCGATGATATTTTTCACAATGCCAGACGAATGATAATGTCATAAGCTGCCATCTTTCCTATAGCACCTGAAAGCAGCACATGTATCTGTACAACTCCCTTACTTTGGTCCATCCGGGGACGAGCAGCACCAAGCTGATCACACCTTTCTCCAGCACCATGATGAGCAGGTAGACGCCACACTGACCCAGCCATGCTGCTGCCCGGGGAGGGTCACCTGGAGGAGAAGAGGTTGAAAAACATCTCATATAAATACTTAATTAATTCTCTTTGCATTTCACTTTCTTTCTGGTATGATGGCTGGTATTTTTTGTAGAGTAACAATATCATAAGCTTCCGATAGTGGTGCCATTTGCGGTGATGACCTGTAAGCAGAAAATATTAATCTAACTTTGCTTCACTTTTTCTAATCTTTTTTTTGGCCAAATTCAAAGATTTGATTAAAAAAATATTTATTTTTTTGGCCCACCAGAACCTTTTTATTATGATTTAATTTTTTTATTTTTAGCGCCTATATCTCTATAAATGGTTGTATTTACAATGTTCAATGTTGCATTTTCCCCCCTTCTTGCAAAGAAAAAACTATGTAGCTTTAACATAGCTCCACTGTTAACAAGGTACATTTTACAATTCCTTTAAACTATGTCCAAGATCAAAAATGCATTTTAAAGCTCTATTTTAATTTTTAAAAAATCTCCTGCATCTTGAGTATAGTCCTTCAAACCCAGAGTCTGTTACACAGGTGTCTCACCACAGCAGACACAAAGGAGGACAAGTCTGTCATTAAGACAGGAAGAAGGGAGGAGGAAGACACACACACACACAGACAGACTGGAGCTCACCTAATGCATTTTTCATGAATACACAAAATGTATCTGAAAATGTTTGTGTTCCCTTCAAACAGAAAGAGAGAATGAAAGAAACTCAGCCCTGGTCATCAAAGAGAAGCGAGATGGAGACTGAATCCGCTTTGCAACTTGTTTCAGGATATTTTTCATCACACAAGGAAGGAAGAACAAAAACAACAGTAGAGCGAGTGAGTGTAATAATTGGCATGGAGTTAATCCCTCTCTGAAGCCACTGAGAATGTTTTCCAGGCGGGGCTGCAGCTGGAGATGCTGGCTCTCTTCCCTGTTTGCCTCCTGTGGGTCTACAGCGCCCGCCAGTGGAGGAAACAAGAGCTGCAGCTTAGTCTAAAGGACAAAAAAAAAAAAAAAGATTATTCTCTCACCGTATTCTCCAAACATGAGCAACGCCCACTGCTTGTACTCCACTAGTTTGGACACCAACTTCACAGCCAACCAGATGACCAGCATCCCCAACGTGGCGTCCAGCAGGAAGTTCATCAGATACCTTTGGTAAAAGGGGAAACAGAGTTCTCAGTAAGACATCCCTGACAGCAGAGCCTCATCTTATAAATAGTTTGTGCTAATCAGTAACTCACAGGGAGCATGGGTCCTCTTTGGTGAGCGTGGACAGGAAGACGTTGGCAAAGTGGATGAAAAGAGCACCGATGGCCTGCTTGGATGTGTCATAAAACCTGGAAGAAATCGCATGGACTGTGTTAAATTAATTTTTTTTATGAATTAGAGTTCTTTATTCTTTTATTGTGTGTGTCTAACAGTATCTCTCTAAACATGGTAATGTCAAGATCTGACCAGATCCTCCAGGGTCGTCTGATCCATACAGGCTCCCGGAACCTCTTCACTGCAAACACAAAAAAGAAAAGGCAATTAATGAATAAATAACTTTCCCATCAGACATGCGTTTATCCTGCAAAATCATAACAAGGAACAGTTTTTTGTTTGTGGATGACGTTTTGACCTCCACTGTGAGCCTGGTCTCTCTGCAGGGCAGTGGGAAGCGAGGGCAGAAGAAACACAGACAACACCGTATCGTCCTCGTTTCACGCCGCCACAACACTTCATTCCTCTCAGGGTAAACAGACGCCCACTGTTCCTCTTTCTCGCCATCTCACAAGGTCAAAAAATGTGACTCAGCATGTGAAAACAGGATCGGGGTTTCCTGCAGACATGTTCTACATCTGTAATCTAAATTCTTTCTTTAGGATTTTTATATATCAGCTGTTTTTCTTTTAGTTTGTAACTACATAACTGCAGTGATTTTTACAGCATGGTGAAATTGTTCATACTTTTCTAGACTTCTTTCTGTATTTTTCAAACTTTTAAAGCCATTTAAACTGCCTTCATCCAGATTGCTTTACAGCTAAAATGACAATTTTTATAATCAATTAATCTTTTTAAATAATTCATCAAGCAAAAACGCTCAACATTTTCTGATTCCAGCTTCTCAAAAAGGGAAGATTTGCTGCTTTTTTCAGTTTTTTATAATTGTAAACTAAACATCTGCACTGTGGATCTGACAACACATGTTACGTGAAGATGTCCCCTTGGGCTCCAAGAAATTGTAATGGTCCTTTGTCATAATATTTTAAGCAAAAAACGTTATCTATTCATCGTAAACGAAACCAACAGATGAACCAAAAATGAAAATAACCATTAATCGCTTACAACATTTTTCAAAACATTCAAAGATTCATATCGAAAGTGTGTCAAATTAATCTCATGACAGACCGAAAAAAAACAGGAACAGTAACTCGCAAAAATAGCTTTGAGGAAGAGCACTCCAAACACAGATCAGCAGAGTGGATGCATGGTGCAGGCTCAGCTGTGACTCGGCATACCGCCACTGTGATCATAACTGAAGGGCTCTTAATGCTCTGCTGCACAGAAATAATGTGGTGTAAATATTAACAGATGCATGTTCTTTGACCAAGAACGACCACTTGTGCTGAGAACGGGAAAGGGGAAAAAAGGACAGAGGGAGGATATCGATTTTTCTACTAATAAGTAACTGAGTGGAGGTTAGAGCTCATTGAGCTCACTCACCCTCAAGGGCTAGCCTAATTCTGCAACACTTCACGGCTCTGAACCCGCCTGCTTCATTAGCTGATGAAATCAACATGACTGCATTGAGCTTTGAAAACTACATTGAAATTATTACATCATATGCTAACACACTCATGAAATAAGTGAAGACTGATGCATTTGTGTCATTTCCATGTAGCATATCAGTGGCCATTAATCTTCCCCATACAAAGGTGAACTGACAAGATAAGCATTTTAACAGGCTCAGAATTCAGACAAAAGAAAAACACATAGCACATATGGACTAATTTGTTTAGTTGATATGTTTTTATGTTCAGTAATTGGCTCTTTTTTTTATCAACTGAGCACTAAGACACCTAGTAGTTGAATAAATACAGTGGTATCACCAAATATTCAAGGAAACTGGACAAGAACTAAAGCTAAAGCTTAAATGTAACCCAGGAAGTCATAAAAGGAAATCATCATCTGACACATGATACTGAATGAGTGCTTGTGCAAAACAAAACACAACATGTTCCTAAATAGCCTAAAAAAGAAAAGCCGCATGTCGTTTTTAGTGTTCCTACTTGACCCAGTACCAATCACACCTTTCAGCTGCAACTGCTTCAGAAGTTCAGAAACACTGATTGTGGTGCCAAAACCGGTTAGATGCCCAACATTCTCCAAGTCAGCTGCTACCTAATCACATGTTATTTAGCAGTCAATTACCATTGTTCAGACTGATTAAATCCACTCTGGCTGTAAGGCAGGCACTCAAAACCACAGTGGAAGTTTCAAAAATTCTTCGCTTGAAACTGCCCATACTGTCATAACTACTGGTTACAAGACTGTACCATAACTAAAAACAGTCAGAGAGACAAATTTTAACTCTGAAGTTCAAGTTTATTTAAATCAACCATGACATACTCATTGAACAGCACCCTATGTTTTGTTTGCTGCCTATGAATATCACATTTCATTGAATAAACATTATGGATATTTGATCAGTATCCTGTTGGCAGGCGTTTTTGTTTTTTAAAAGAGCAACTACAAGGAAGCCCTGGATCCAAATCCTGGCATACGGATAGACCCTGACGACACTTCACTTAAAAACATCGCAATTTGTGATGCTGCTTCAGACACACTTAATGGAGGGGTATGGTTTACATAAATTATGCATGTTTTAAGCACACGTAATTTTATTCAAATATGTACTTGAAGAAATGTTTCCCACAGATCATAACTCAAAGGAACTGTTTAACATTATTTTGCTATTCTGTGGACGTGGGAGACATCTGAGGCTGAAATTCATTTTTTTTTTTTTCATTTACAGTACCTAATTCATGCCGAAAGGAACAGTCAACCCTCATAGGTAAAGTAATGTTTTACTAAGTGTTCAATTTGGGTGTGTGTTCTTGTCTAAAGCAAGGTCAAATTAAATTAGCTGATTGTTCAATGGAATTTGGTGACAAGCTTATGAGGCTCTGCAGACACAAACGTCAACAAAACGCCACGTGGACTAACTTCGTGTAGCCCTTTACAAAGAAGTTTTTGCACTATGTGTTTCGTGCAACCTCCACCTGAATAAACACAAAACAACTGTGGCTGGGTTGATGGATCAGATTACTCACACATCAGGGTGCTGAAGGCAATGATGGCCAGGAGTCCCTGGATCAGGACGCCGAACCTGTCTGTCAGAGCCCCGTTGTCGCAGCCGTGAGGATTCGCCTTGTTCATGTCAGACATGTTCGTGACTTCGGAAACGCCACCGTCCAAGAATCTTTTCACCAAAAGGGCCTCGCTGAACCCATGCATGTCCATGTTGACACGATCAACACAACACAAAGACAAAAGGAGCGCCGCACCACGCTCTGCAAAGAAGAGCTTAACCTGAATTTACTCGAGAAAAGGCCAGATTTTGATTTCCGGCGGTCGATTCAAGGTAAAGAGTCCACTTAATCTGTCCAGAGGTTGACGCTACGTGTCATGATGCGAAAGCAAGACAAGAAAATCAATTATCTGACACACATCCATGTTTGTGAAAACGAAAACACACAAGTCAAGTTCTCCAAGTGGAAAAAGTCCAGCTTCCGGTTAAAAACATTTCAAATTAAAAGGCATCAGGGTGTTTTCCTTGGAACATCTTGGCAGAAATACAAAATGATGTAGGCTACAAACTGCCAGGTGAAAAGTTGTTTTCACAATTCGTCCTACAAATATAACATTTTATAGCAACTTTAAATGTCAAAAATTTAGGTGAGTCTCTCTTGGTAGAAAGAGATCTATTTAGCATAGGTTAGAATATATCATTGTGTGCTCACAGCGTATTTTATTTCATTTTATAATTAGTGCACAGCTAACAAGAAAAAATAAATAACAATAATAAACAGACGTAGTCATAAACAAAACTGGATTACACAAAATAAACACACGTGGGCAAATAGAGGAGGATTGTGGAAAATGAACATACTATATTTGTTCATTTTTAAGTGGCACAGTAAATGCAGTCTTTTTTACGCTTACTTAAGCCTGTTTGTATAAAAGATCTTTAGAGATGCAGGCCTATCTGTTTGTGTGTCCCTAATGTACTGCCAGAGAGGGGAAAGAAAGCCTTCATGTTTTCTGGTATATAGCCACTTAAAATAGTTTGCAAAAGGAATTTAGGAATCTGATATCTCTGGCCAAATTGTAAAGTATATGGTAAACGAGTCCTATTTCATTTTAACTTATTTTTCCTGTTATATTAGGTTACTGTCTGATTTTAGTCCTATATTTATATGTTGCCTTCTGTTTGGTTGTTTTTGTCTGCACACAGAGGTGGGACCAAGCCTTTGTTTTACAAGTAGGCTACCAAGTCAAGTCCCAAGTCCAGACCAGTCGAGACAGGCAAGTCCGAGTCAAATCTCGGGCCCTAAACTTTGAGTTTCGAGTCCTAAACAAGTGTTTATGCGCTCTTCGCCAAATTTAATACCATTTCATATTTTTAAGAGTTGAAAATGAAAAAAAAAACACTTCACTAATAAAAGCTTTAACATGTACATAAAAAAGGCAGAGGCGTAGTTTCACACAACAAATTTCATATAATTTCATGAATTAACAGAAATGTAATGCGCTGCACACAGTTTTTTAAAAAAATCATAATTTATATTTGGGCCAAGTCCAAGTGAAGTCACAAGTCATCTGTGTTAAAGTCAAAGTGGAGTTGCAAGTCTTCTTTGAGTCTAAAGTCATCATATTTGTGACTTGAGTCTGACTCAAATCCATCGAGTCCACACCTCTGTCTGCACATGTTTATGCTGCTGTCTAGCCCAGGTCTCCCTTACAAAAGATTTTTCCATCATCAGAATCTCATCAGGACTTAATGACTATTTAAATAAGATTTGCTTAAATTAAATTTGAAAACCCCAAAGAAAGCCAGTTTCTTCATCCTGCACCATCCCCATTATTGTGTTTCCCTCTTGACTACGTTTTCAACCTTTTTACTTTGAAGTAACATTTTCATAGTTTCCGGTCGTGGTTCGGGTGATTTGATCGCCAGGATGTCGCTGCAGAATTCCTTGAATGTGCGCGAGGCCGCTTTAGAGCATTTCTGTTTTGGCACTCGGTCGTGCGTCCCGTCGTGCGCACGACAGTCAGAGACAATTTAGAGGCCTAAAAGAGACTTTAAGAGAGTCCACGAGGCAAATCACTTCCTCGTTGGAAGATATGATAAAATGAGATCTTTAAGTCGTTGAGGTAGCCTACAACTCTTTCATGCTCAAAATAAAATGTTATGTGTGTAAATAACCCTGAGAGGTAGAGATTATAGGATTCCTAATTACAATTTTGATCAGATTTATGCAAATTTAGAGACTTTACAGGATTATATAGCCTTACTGAATCATCAGTGGTGAGCACAGAGCTAATTTGTAGCCTTTCCATCTGAGATAAGATGTTTGACGATTTGCCAGCCCTATATAAAACTCACATAATTATTAAGGATATCATTGATCAGTACAAATGCTCTGATTGTTGTCAAAATAAAAAAGTGTTGGAAATAAAGTAGCCTAGAGGATTTTTCCACGCACAGACTGAATCAGTTCTAAATAAATGCACATGCCTGTGAAATGTCACTTATACCTATAGCCTACATCTAACTGTTTGTATGTATTGAACTTGTCAAAACAAACACTTTGCCAAGAGCAAAAACATTACAAATACTGCAACTCAGACAGAAAGGTTTAACACATAACTTGAAGACAAAAAAAAAACTTCCTCATTACTGAACTGACCTACACACCTACAGCACATTTGTTCTCTATATGGCCTCTTAGTGCAGGGGGGGGGGGGGCTATACGATTTTGGATTCAAATAGGCCTATTAATAAATAGACTAAAAAAATAGGCCTACATAAATAATTTGCTTTATTTGACTGTAAAAACAAAGGAGTTAGGCTTTGAGATGGTGGTTTTAATAATTTCCCGGTTTACTAAATTAAAGCTCAGAAGATGCTTTGATGATTCACGAAATCCTGCTTCTGAAAACTGAATCGTTTAGGATTGCGGGCTCATTCACGCACAAGTCCGCTGTGTGTGTGTGTGTGCGTGTGCGTGCGCGTTTTAAAGGGGGGAGGGGGGAGTTTATAATCCTTTCTCCCGCGCGCTTGGAAAAGCTTCTTCTCTGGCAGATTAATGGCGCACGGCGCACGCTCCAACCATCTGTTCATCCAGCAGCATCACACTCGGCACGAGCGCCTCTTGTCCTGTGTTCACGAGTCCTTTTGTCTCTTTATGAATCACATCCTCTACCGCAAATACAACACTGAACTTCCTGTTACAGTTTTCAAAATAAAATCTTATTGCAGTTAGACACAATTGTGAAAGTCTTTGTCATAATGGCCTTAACACTTAGTCTGTAGCCTATTAGGCTGCCTGACATTTCTGGTGATGTTCTGGGTTTTAAGCCTTAAACCTTTTTTTGACTTGTGGTCCCTTAAAATTAGCTAAACAAATGTCTGGCTTAGTTTACTCGTGATTGCTCCTTCTCAGATTGTTTCATTTGAAAGCTTGAAGAGTTGAAGGTATCCAGTAGCTATTTAACATAAAAAGAACAAACAATGGACCAATTATTTTTTTTTGTTTCTTATCAATTTAATCATCTGCTGGATCCTCAGATTCTGGAGACCGTTGGGGGGTTTCAACCCACAGGTTGACAACCAAATGCCTTAAAGCCACTGTTTAATCAGAAATACCTGGAATTTCCATTTTAAAGATGAAGGCTTCATCGTCAAACATCCTGTTCCATGCCTGTTTATTGACTCTCACAGTTTGATACGCAGTTATAAAATATGGACTTAAGAATCCATGTGAATGTTATACTCACAATATATTGTACCAGGTCACGTAAAATGAAGCCAAACGGACAGAAATAGGCACAAATATTAATATGCATCACATTTTCCCCCTAATGTGTATACATTATTCATATGTGACCAGAGAACTTAATTGCATTTTAATTTCATGAACTTGGGGACTTTGGGGATTTTTCTGGGTAATCCCAACAAAATATGCTGTGTAACAAAACACTCAGAGGTCCAGACCTTTGCGTTAATACACATACTGCTCCCAAAGGTCAAGAGTGAACTTACATGCTTAATGATAAGCATGCTGCTTTAATTTCACTGAAGCCTACTTGAGAAATTGCCCCAACAAACCCCGTGTTATAGCGGTGATATCATTCAGCTATGTAGATTTCACTTGCTGTAGGTAGGTCCTCTCCACCCTGAACCCTCAGTTCAGTTAAATGCCAAAAAAACACGTCACCATATATTGTATCTCCCCACCTCTCTTGTTGTGGCGGTAATATCTGCGTGTTTAGAGGTATTTATGGAAACACGTGCCAACCTTTGAACCAAAGGAATGACTGCCAGCCTATCAAAAGTGGTGCAATGGGCTCCCACCACTAGAGGATACTGTTGACTTTGATAAGAGATGGCTCTCTATTAAAATAACAAAATCTCCCAAAAGCTGTTTGGAGAAAAGTGATTGCCAAAACAAAACAAAAAAAGCCCAAAGGAACAGAATGAAGTGGACAAATGGTTATAAGAGATTAGGAATTATTTACTTTTCAGGCTTATTCATGCACAGAAGCAGCTAAAACTAAAGGGGGCGGTTGAGTTGCTCCTGTAGTCAACTAGGCTAATTATTTCCATGAAATATTATCACTTGTATTGTTATTAATTAATTTATTGGTCAGAGTTTCTCTTCCTGAAAATACCTACAACTGTCGCCTACAATTAAAGAAATAATGTGTCTTGGATCAAATAACAGCCTGTGAACACAAAACAAGACATTTAATGTAAGTTATCAACTATGATAAATTATAAAATTATATATAATAATGTAGATATTTTAGGTTTGCACCTTGGCATTAAAATAAGCTCTAATGCGCATACAAATGATGTTTCGTTGTGTAACACAGTTTTCAGCAGTTTGGTTTTGTAGGCGTAGACTTGACTTCAGTTCCCCTATTTATAACAAACAGGCTGAAGAAATACTTTTTGCTGCTGCACTGGGCTAAATGGTCTATGAAGGAGTTGGCTTGAAAATATCTGTAATGTTGTTGGACATGCGCAGATGGGAGATGCCATATTGGAACGGGGGCAGCAGCAGCAGCAGCTGAAAGACGTCGCTCGCGTTTCTTTGCTCGGGCTCGAGCGAACGAGGAGAAGAGAGAGAGGGAGAGAGAGAGAGAGAGAGGGAGAAAAAAAGCAGACGGGGTCTCCAGAAGGAGAGGCGACAAAAAAAAACTTGGACAGGTAAGACAGGTGACGGCTCCGACGGTCCTGGAAGGTTTTTCCGTGGTTGCTTCGTTTTGTTATTTTCGTTTTGTCGACGAAATAAACACAGGGAGAGTTATTTTTCCCCTCCTTCGTTAAAAAAACCCCGAAGTGCTCCCGAGGCGGTGTCTGTAGAAACGAGAGAATAGTCGCGAGCATTCGTTCACGAGCCCAAGTTGTTCAAAGTGTCTCTCACGCGCTGTAATTAACAGCTTTCACCGGCAGAGAGGACGCTGTCTCGTGGCACTCG